GCTAAGCCATTTGGTCGTAACCTCGCTATCAGGCACGTTGCTTTTGTTATAATTGACAGAGTTCAGATTCTGCGGTCCAAGAATTGCGGTCTCGAGTGCCTCAAGACGGTCGTGAAAGAGTCGATGGAGCATCGCCTCCTGGTAAAGTCGCGCTGGGACGTCTTGAATTCGCTCTTGTAAAGAACGTTGCTCATAGATCGTGGAGATTCTGTTCCAGAATCTAAGGTGAAATAAATCATCTTTGGCATCCTCGAGTGGAGGTTCTGCTTTATTTTTCTCATTGAGTTGACCATTGAGAGGTTCATCCTCTGTCTTGCTAGGCTGACCGTTCTTCGCCGCATCAGGGGATAAAGAGGAAGACGGGATGCCGGCTTCAGTCTGAGACGAGTCTGTGTTGCCGTCCGTGGCTGGCGTGGAGACACTTGGTTCGGAAGATATACCTAAGGAGTGAGGATTTACACTGTCGACGATCGCTGTTGCCATGATGCGAAAGCTCCTGCAATGCTTCTCGAGTCTTTGAAACACGAGGGAATTCCGAGGTTACTGAGTTGGTCACTGATTTGTGCGTGTGGTACTCTGGCCAGTTTACCTCACATATACAGACAATGTTCTGTAACAGGTGTCAGCGCCGCGTCAGCCTTGCTTTAAGGCAGCTGAAAATATCACCCCACCAGAAGGACTTTTTGCTTTTTATGCTCGGACATCCTTTTCAACAAGTAATATCCTGCGCTCGAATCCTTTTCCTATCTCCCAGCGCCTAGTGCTGCAACTAGTAGAGATTAGCCGGGCTAGAGGAAGCCACCTGGACGGGGGAGTTCCATGTTGGTAGTAGCGCCCGCCCCCATACGCGTATGCACGTGTCTGAATTAGGCACGAATCCTTCCTTGCCATGCCTATTGGCCCTCGATTGCTCTGAGCAAGAACTTGCTACTGTTCTCCCCTCTAGCGTGGTGCGATGAACTACGGCCGATCGAAGGTCCTCGCGCCAAAGCCGCGCTATATTTAATTTTAGTGCCAGAAGAGGGGGTGGAAATGATGATAAAATACTTGGAGCTCCCAGCCAATGATCTGATATGATCTCAAGCGATGAAGCGCCCAACAGCCTGAAGGCAACCTGCCCCTCACCATTCCTCTACTTAGTGATCGAGTCGACCTGATTCTTGAGCTGGGTCATAGAAGGTTTGGCTACTCCATAACACCGCCAGCTAAGTAGGATTATCTTTGTGTTTTCTTCAGGAAACATAGGTCACGAACAGGATGGCAAAACAACCCGTAACCAAGTTCCCAGTTCGTCATTCAACTAATATCCCCGCGAGCTTCATTGAGAATCACCAAACCACCGCTGAAGACGAAGAAAAACTTAAATTCGTTCATCGCATCAACTCTTTCCTTCCCGAGAAGGACGCAACTCAGGTTGAGCTAGAGTGTAAGCAACGAATGTGTGTATATTCACCTTCCGTCCATCATATGCCGAAAATGTCTGAACCTATTGCTTATTCTCGAGGATGTTTTGTTAGTGAGGAGTCTTTTAAAAGTACGACCAACAATGTTCAAGCCCTAAATGAGGCACTGGAGGCTTTCCGCCTGAAATTGTGCAAACCTAGCCAATCCCAAGTCAGCCAGTCTATACCATCAGGTCGGAAAGTAGACTGGTCGGATGTGATGAAACAGCTGCAAAGTGCTCAGAGCTACTACGAGAACCGTCATGGAGGTGGACCGATTGGCAAAGCGCTTTCCAAATTTGGGAGATATACGGAGTCGCTGAAGGGGTGGCTAGACCTGCTTCCTGCTGGGGATTATGGGTCTACTATATGCGGTACGTATGCACCTATCATATTCGATGCGATCGATGCTAAGTGCCCGAGGATTGTACAGGGGGACTCAAGCTATTGTTATCGGTATGGCAACAGGAACATTCCAAATTGACTTGATTCCCAACCCCCGAGCTCCGACTGACTCCATCTAGGCCCTTGATGAAACTCAGAAGCTGGATAGCTTAGTTTTCGTGGCACTGTCGGACATACCCGAGATCTTGTACGAAGCCCGGTTCTACCTGGATGCGTACAGAGTTCCTAGGTTGAGTATTAATATGCTGGAAAAGATGGCTGACCTATGTAACCACGTTCTTGTTGTGCTGCGGGAAATCGTTTGTTACTGTCTTGAAACAAAGCCTAGTAAGTACACATATATACTCCTTTTTCCCGAGTGGAAAGGTCGCATCTCTGAATTTCTTTATTCAACCTTTGCATAGAACATTTTATTTCAACGGTCTTCAAGGGACCGAAATCAAAAGAGTCTCTACGACAAGCAATTTCCGACCTCAGGGAACGCGCCACCTCTCTTTCTCGACAGGCAGAGCTCACGAACCACCAAACTATACAGAATATCAGCGAAGATATTCAAGGCATTAAACAGAGTTGTCATAACGCAGAAGGTAGCCGCACGGACATTTATGTCAATCTATACGTGCTCTACTCTGGGCACCCATCTCTCGATAGCAAAGGCGAACTTCTGTCCGACAGTATGGATGGTCAGTATTATGCAACTGTCAAAGTCTTTTACAAATTTTATCAAATCTGAACGTGAAAAATAAAAATCTAGCGTCCCCTCGATTGTCTCTTGCCGGCGTTCAAGTTCAAAACTCCATCAGTGCAAGCTCTTCCCCGGGAATCAAGCCTTCGTGGAGTCCATCCGTAACCGACCTACCAGATCTAAGAGATTTGCTCACCCTATGTGTTAATTCTCAATCTAACGATCACTTAAACGTTCCCCAACGGACTCATCATCGACATCAATCTTCCCCCAAGCCCCAGGAGCCCCTGATCACCACCGAAGGCCTTCTGCACCTCCTCGCATTCGACGAAACCAAGGTCGCCAGCGACCGAGGCACGAATGTCCACCCAGGCAGGTTCAACAAGCGCGAATCGCAGAAACTCCCCTTCATTACGAGATCTACCCAGTTTCAAAACTGGATCGACAAGACCGAGGGGAAAAACGCCTCCCTACTCGTTCAGGGTCACTTTGACTCTGAAGATGCCACATCGGCTTTGACACAGCTCTGCGCAAGGATCGCTTATGAGTCCGCTCCTAATCCCAAAGTACTGGTTCTCACTCACTTTTGCTCGCTCCATACTGCCAGTCGCGCGGAGATCGGTAGCCGGGCTGGTCCCACGGGGTTAATCGCCAGCTTTATCGGTCAACTTCTCTCCTACGACTCCCATCGAGTCCAATTTGATCTATCGGAAATCACGAAACATACATTATCACAAATCGAGGAGTTTTCAGTGAAGAAACTGTGGCGGTTCTTCCGAATGCTCATCGCCCAGGTTAAGAAGGGAATCACGATTATCTGCATTATTGACAATATCTCATCGTATGAGACGGACGAAGCGGTGTGTGATCTGGAATTTTTAGTCTGTTGTCTGCAAAAGTGGGTCAAAAAGGCAAACCAGACTTCGTCGAAGCCAAGGATGAAGTTGTTGATCACCGACACGAACCAGACCACCCGGGTCTACCGGTATTTTCAACAAGATGATATTCTGGACCTTGAAGGGGGTGGTGAATCGGGGGATGATTGGAAGGATGACTCTGAGGAGGACAGCTGGATAATATAATTTGGGGAGAGGCTCGCCGTTCACAAATTGGAGCCAAAAACATCACACGATATTGCAAAGTTGAAATCGGAACTAGAAGAAGTTGAATTTCTGCTTCTTAGTATTTCCGTAGTGCAGTGGTGCTGGCCAAGCTAGATAACCCGTACTCGCTTTGCCCTGGACATCTGTGCTTCGTGCCGAGGCCTCTTCGATGACTCTGCACAGTTCTGTACCCAGCGTTGTCTTCTGGGCACAAAATGGCGGGACTCTGGATGATTCGTGTCCAAATGTTCATACCCACGGGCAACTGGGAACGGTATTCAGCATCCTGTCAATGCTGCTAAGTTTGTGTCATGCCTTAAGCAGCAAATATATGAGAAGATTGACTGGTGAATCCCATTTGGGACTTGTGGATCATACAGTGCCCCGTTTAAGCTCACATGCTCTTATTATGGGTATACTGTTATGGGAAAAGGGACGACATCCGGTCTCTGGCAGCAACACGTTTCTCGTGAAGCGGAGATATTCTAGATCTCACGAAAAGCGCAAGGTTCTGCTGTCCCAGTGTTCCTCGGCAAGATAGATCTGGCAAAAATATACTTTCTATATGGAGCTGGACAAATTCGGCATATGCTCGTTATAGGTTAGGCCGGCCAGAGTATAGCAAAACCCAAGCAAACTACGGAGCTTCGCGGGGAGATAAAAGGTCGAAGAAGAAAATACGCGCTTTGGGGGTGTGACGCTTAGACTTTCGGCCTGATAATATCCTATGGAATGATGGACTAGGACGGGATAGTAATACAAGGTGCTTGGCTTGTCGTGTGGAACTCGGAGAAGAACGAGGGCTATTCCAGTACAGTGGAATTCGAAATCAGTTTTCACTCTAAACTTTTGCGACTTAATTCCCGAACCCTACGTGGAGACACGCTAATATGATTTTAATTCTTCCCTGGTAATCCATGTAGGAGGCTGTATTATATTCGCTGGTAACCACAATGAGTTTTTGTTATCATACCGTAAATATTGTCAAGCGCAGACGTTCAAAGTCACGGGAGGAAAGGCGGCCATTTCTAGCCTCAAAAGCGGTCATTTTCGGCGTCAATTCCGCATGTCCTCAGATTCGTAATATTGTGACCTGTGAAATACTGTATCCGGTTAATTTTACCATTTGGGTTTAGCACCATGTATTTGATCCTCTTCCCATCTTCTAGATCGGATCTCACGGCTTCGCATCACGAGATACACAAGGCTCGCCGTCAGCTATCTAGGACTGGTACTACCGGCTGGATCTATATACCTATCTTTTTATACATTGTATATTTTACGAGGGCTTAATGTACCGTCTGCAACTTCACTCAATAAGTCGTGCATTCTGTCTTCATTTATATACCGCATGCAGGGGCCTGGTTACTTTTCCCTGAATGTAAGTGGCCCTTCATCCTGTACCATTACAGCGCGCATCTTCTTCCATTTATCAGTCATTCTATCCACGCTGCGCACAGATACAATCTCATTCTCCGGTGTAGTATGGAGATGGCTTGATAATAATGGAAGCGCCATACACTTCCACAGCACGGCCTTACGACGTTTGCTTTCTATTGCAGTTCCCAGAAGCAGCGCGGTTGATCCCAGAGTAACAATAACCGGAAGAATTATCCACGGCCATCGGATATGAATGAATGTCTCGACTCGAAATGCCTTCCCCCGAGTCGGCTTACCCCCGCGATAAGCGCGTAGGACATCAGTGACGCTAGTGGACATTGAATCGAGTAATTGACTGAGGTTGCCTTTGCGCAGAAAGGTTGTTAGGTCTAACACATCTGATTGTGTGAAATCAGTTGCGCCATTGAATATTCTCATCATTGCAGGTTTGAAACTGTTGAACATCCGCTGATCGATGCTGTAGGACGGGTTTTTTGATAGGGTTGCCGACCCGTTTGGGGGTGCAAAGTAAACGGGGAATGGTGAGGTATGAGTGCGACTTTCTTCAGGGACATCTCTAGCAATGAGCTGCTGTGTATCAATAACCTGCATTGGATGGCTGTTTTGGGTGCCAGGCGGGTATAAGCTCGCTGAGTATCGTCGTTCGTAAAAGTATACAGCACATTCTGTTACCAATGGCTTTGTTGGAGGAGCTGTCGCGTTGGATAGAGTATAGAAAACCGGGTTGGTATAGTCTATCTCAATGAGGGAGACAATTGGGGTCTGAATGTCAAAAATTGTGTTGTTTTCCCTTGGACGGGAACTCCAATGGTTCATATTGAACATAACTTTGTCGTAATTTGTTGACTGAAAACCGAAACCAGAATAATTGCCATTGGAGTTCAAGTAAGTTGTTTGGGGGAAACCATCAAAATCGAAAGAGAAGTTACTCGAAGTTTGGTAGCTGCAATTTGTAGGGGTTTCCCTGAAGGCTGGGAGGACTTTATCCCAAAAGGCTGCATATTCTGGCACCTGACACTTCTGATTTGTTTGCGATGTGGTATCCTTGCATTTACTACACATCCCTAGTGTAACAAACTCTGGGAATTTGCAAGAGCTTACGTTGCATTGAGGCTCAAGAGGAGTATGTGTCTGCAAGAGTCCACTTATTAAGGTGGTCAAAAGCGTCGGCGGGAGCTCAAGAAATATTTCACTTCTATCTAGGTCCCCCATCATGAACCATTACTGTGAGGTTTGGGTAAATGCAGTGGCATTCAGTGCAGCAACGGTTCGTGAAGGGAATACCAAAATTTACTGTGTAAATGGATCCACTATAAGCGCCAGAGCCGTAAGAGATGCCCCAATATAAGTTAGGCTTCCTGTTTTCGACCCAAATATTCCCCTTAGTAAAACTTATAAGGATCCCCAGGGTCCCTGACTTACCTGGTCAATAACCTGTATGTGATATAGTGGGGCTGGATTTTGAAATAGGTTCCATTTCAGCTGGCCGAGACATGAGGACATCGCGACCAGTACTGCGGCTTTAGTAGTGGTGACGATGATTGATACGATGGTATTAGGGGACACGGTATATTTCCAGGTCGCGTATGGAGTGTTATTTATCGTGATAAGAAAGGCGACCAAAAGAATAAGGCCCATGACGGCTAGGGTAATAGAACCGATTTCCCATGCCCAGGACCCGCTCCAATCGAACCCAGATTGCTTCGTTTCAATGTCTGTTTGCGAATATGTATGCAAATTTATATCGTCTATATCTGAGACGCCCATTTCAGTCTCGCTGGCATGCCTATGAATAGACATACGAGGACTGGCTTGGTTTTCAAACCTATCTACCTCGAGATCAGATTCGCTCTGGCCGTCGTGTAAAGCGGAATATGACGGATGAGTTGCCATTGTGATATCACTTGGTCGACCGAAGTAGTCTCTAGTATACAGGTGTTAAGTAGACCCTTTTAGGTGATGGCGGGGAAGTGGAGAGGAAAAGGAGGTTTATCATTGTGGTTATGGGCGGTTGAGCCTCAATAAATAGTGGTTATTTTTACAACCAACTCTGCGGTGCTGACATTCTCAGCCTATCATTTATACGCTAGTCAATCCGTCGTAATTGGTTCGCCTATGTGATGTCACATTGCCCAGCTCCTGATGGCGTAGATCTATTTTTGTTATTCGCAAATGCCTTGGTGCCCACTTGCCTTCGAAGCAATACCTAAGCAATGCGGGCCAACAGCGAAAATACCCGCACACGCTGCTGTATTATGCTCTTTTTTTGTTTTGTTTTTTTGCGTAGAAGAGTCCGACCAAATCATAGAAAAAGAAGAAATCAGTCGTTCGTTTCAATTTCTGATTGTTAATAATGTCACAACTTCCCGAGATAAATTGTAGCCAAGACCGGACTAAAGAGTTGTGACAGCAACAACACCCTGTGAGAAAAAAACCAGCATGGGAGGAGAACGTAAGCGGTTCAGGGGCTTGCAGGAGGATATTCAGGTGTAGAATAGTGGTGCTCAGGGCATTCAGGTGAACGGGCTTAATAGACTGAAGAGTAGGGCAGGCAGCAAGCAAGAGGGGGATTTCCTAACGAATCAAAAAAAAAACCAGGTGAACAAAAACATACAACAGTGAGGATTCGCTGGTGGTCACCCACCCAACTACTAACTCACCGGCGTGTGGCTTAAGTACGGCTGAGCGGACGGGAAGCCCTGTTTTCCACACCCTATGGTCGTATGTACAAGAATACGTATGAGAATAGAAGATGTAATAGAAGTTGCTGGGTGCAGATATATTCGAGAGTTTAGCGTCGCGCGACCGGAGGTGAGAAGGGTGAGTGCACTATAAACGGGGTGAGAATCCTTATTCAAGGAAGAAACACCAACCAGCTGGTGCGAGTCGGAAGAACTTAGGATGCTTGGACCAGAAGAGCAATGTCTGAGATCGCTCCTGGAAGTCGACGCCTGTCCCTCTCTGTCGATACTGTCGCCTCTCTCCAAAACAATGAAACCTCATGGTCAAACCTCGAACAAATTTAAGCTGTGCAAGGTCTACTAGAGGATTTGTACCGTTTCCGGACGCCCCAAGGCGAGCAGATTAGTTCATCCGATGTCATCATTATCAGTCCATATAAACCCCAGCGGAGCCTTATAGCCGCCACTTTAGGGGAGACCGAGCATAGCTGTCTGTATCCGGACAGTCTGACAGTGGACGCGGCGCAGGGCTAAGAGGCGTCTATTGTGATTATCCTGCTGATAAAGCCTAGCGAGGTTACTGAGGAAGTCCGCTTCGTTGCCAATAAGGAGAGATTTCATGTCGCTTTAAGCCGCTCCCAGAAAGTTATTATCGCTGTTAGCAACGCACGCCTTTGACCTGAGCCTGTGATCAAGAATATCGAGAGAAGGTCGAGTCATAACAAGTTCTTTACCGGCATTCTCCGGCTGATCACGGCCAGGGCCAACCACTAAGTTCACTATTCCTAGTTTCTGGCGGCACCGGTAACTTCAAGTAATGCCATCTCGATTGCTGATCAGATGGATGTCGATAACACCTCTGAATCCGTTGGCCATGACCCCGCCACTGGAACGTTGGCTCAAAGCGTGGCCCCGACTTCACTAGATCTGCTCCAAGACTCGCGCGTTCGACTACATCCGTCAATTTCCCGGCCAAGATCCCGCTCTCCGCTGACTCGGCAGTCACCAGGTTGTTCCAGAGCTCCATCCATGGCAGTAGCACACGCGAGATCACATCGAGACCCGGATAATAGAGAAGCGCGCCGTCAACTGTTGGCGGCTATAATGCGCCGGAATCAAGCGGAGGCGGAGGTAGCGGAAGCAAGAGCAAAATTTGCCCGAGACGAAGAGTAAATGGCTTTTCTAGAACTTGAGGATGAAGACATGATGGGCTGAGATGCTGCGGTTTTCCCTGACAGCCAGGAACACTCCTTTCCCTGTGGTTCCATGTTGGTGAGAGCATGGTATCACTTTCCTTCTGCCATTTGTAGCTGTTGCCGTCAATGCAATAACGTTCTTTTACCCCACACTATTCGTATGCGGCCTTCTCTGCTTACCAACGTAACACTTAAATAACTCGATTCATCTGGCTCAAAGTGACATAAGGGCTGTAAATAGATTATATGGAAGATAATACTCCGATATCTTTCTATGTCTTTTCCGCTGATCCTTACATACATATGTAGCCATTGTCAGACATGATCCTGACCCACACTCCCAGTGGCGCCAGATGGTCTACGAGACTTCTTTGATATACACAGAAGGAAAGCTCACGAGACCGACCGCTGACGCACACGTTACTGGAGAGTTTTCCACGGGATGAGAATTGATAGAATCGGATGCAAAGGTAAAGGTTTAGGATAGCTTGGCAATTCTTGGAAAAATAGGAGAGAATGACTCATTAGTTATTTAATGTTGATAAAATCCAGGGATGACGAGCGTACGCGTAAATATCATAATGGTAAAATTCTCTAACTAACTAAGCAAAATAACATTTTGAGACGGTTCCTCAGGATAACCGAATGTGTAAGGAACTGACGTTTGATTAAAGAGTGAAATTCTTAATGCGATGAGAGGATGCGTAGATAGCGAAGTATGACCATAAAGTGAGAGATGTTTCGAATAAGATATAATTGATTGGCCTTCCTTTTCCCTCCATTACTTCTGCCCTAAGAACAGCAGGGTTGTCAGGTCGTTAGGTAGTCAGGTAGTCAGGTAAGATTTGTTTAATGTGACTACCTGCCGACCTTTCCCCCGCTGCCCTAACCGAGCTCTTGAGGAGACATCAAAGCAACATGGCCGCAGGTGCCGACTGGAGCCTCTTAGGTTCCTAATCCTGACCGTTCTATGGACCGTATGCCGTTCTTCGACCTTCGGACTCCTTGTTCAATCAACGATAACAAGGCGGGACTAGGGCGCCGCTGCCTGGAAATTTCAGTGGAAGTTTATTCTCGGTGACTATATGAGCTTTCAAGAAGTGGTCCCGATTGAGGATCATTTGCCATTTTATCGAATTGTCTTTCTAAATTCCACAAGCGAGAACGGTGTGCTGGTAGGTATCAAACATGGACTACAATGGTTATCAATTTCCTCTGAGTCGTCTGCCCCGCGAACCAGCACTTAAATGCTCGGCTCGGCAGCGCGCCTTTACCTTTCTCTGGCCTGGTTTACACGGACCTACGTTATCATCATCAGCGGATATTGGGCACAAACTGTATTAATATCGCTCGTCTGAGGTGCAGGCTCTCCGGGAAGAGGTTGCTGAGTGAGGGAAGACCCATAGGCGTCATTTGAGGATTTCCAACGACCGATAAAGAACGCCTCCCGGACGCTATTCAGTTGGCAGCTTCCATGGTTACAATAGGATTGATGACGCACATGAATATATCTGGGATAGCTCTCATATACAGTTGTTAACAGGGACTAAGGTGCACGGTGGAATATATGCACAGTGGAATATGATAATGATAGATTCATTGAGTTGTAGAAGTTAAGTTCTAAACTATGAGATTTGACAACAGTGTTCGTCGAATCGAAGTATCACAGCTAGAGTTGTCGCCTCGAGGAATGGGAGACGACTAGTAGAGGGACTCGAGGGTCACAAACATAATAGTGTTCAGGACATTCAGGTGAATGGGCTGAAGGGACTGAAGAGTAGGGTGGCAAAAGGTTACCTAGATAAAAAAAACAAAAACATACAACAGCATGTGTAGGGTCGTGGTCACCTAGCGCCCACGCTTTGGGGGGCATGGGCGGCTCACCGCTCTATTTAGGGCACTTAGGGCGGATATTCACCCACTTGAATATTCCTCGCCCCCGAATAAATACGTCCAGGAGGCCATATAGGCCATATAAAACGAAACAGGTGGAGATCGAAGCCCACACAAAGGAAAACCCGGAGAATGACAACTAAATCAAGCAACTGGCATCTCTAGGAGGCAGGAGACTGCTCAGTTAAGCTGATCGAGTCGGCCGTTTTTGGGGCTGAATTTGGCGGTCATCAAACTTCACGCACACGAGCATGGTCAGAGCCATGGGAATGGCGTCGAATGTATATGGTGGCCATTCATTCTGCCACAAGTAACCTTCAGTGCCCATGGCGAATTCGACGACACGGAAGATGTTTCGAAGGGTGATCAGGGCGCTGGTCAGGTAGCACAACCAGATGATTTGACGCCATGAGATAGCAGATTAGGGGCCTTTGAGGCGGTTACGGAGCATACGCACGTGGAAAATCAGGGCGGCAGTGACGAAGAAGGCAAAGAAGATCAACGGCACGGCAAGGCCAATAAGAAGGATTACCTTGCCATTCGACTCTTTTGACCTGGTGTCAGCACGCGAGATAATCGCCCCACCCGCCCCCTGCAGGGCCAGACTCGCCAAATCACCAGCCAGGAATATCTTGGTAATCCAGTGGACAGAGACCAGTGAGTACTTCTCGCCGCCAGTGGCGCGGATAACGCGGCCCAGAATCATATAGACGGATGCAGCAAAGCAGATGGGTGACAACAAGGTAAAGAGGAGTGAAGCGATGTAGGGTCCCTTCGACGTGATTGGATTTCAAGTTTCAATAGATAATGATTCTTCCTCTGCTTTCTCCCACACTTAATAGTAATCCTACAATAGTAAGTCGACTAGCTTGGGACAATACTCCATGATCATACATCCACGGCAATTGTTCGATGAGAAGATCTCGATCTGGAAGATCTGCTATTCGAATTGCAGGGTACTACTGGAAGGCAGGTCTCGTTACTGGGACTTTGTTTATTATAAATCAAATTGATCCATGCCACCCACCTCCAACTAACATATGTCGTGAACAGGCCACCGATTACCGGGCCTAACATGGAGCCAAGAGCCACGGGCACATTTAGCAAGCCAATGTAGAATGCCCGTTCCATCAGAGTTGTCATATCCGTCACGATAACTTCAACCAAAACATCCAGCCCCCCTCCGCCGATACCTTGGATAACCCTACCTACAATGAGGACATGGATCGAGCCGCCCCAACAGCGAAAAATAAAATGCATACATAAAGAAGATGCGCTCTCCCAAAAATGCTGGACAGGCTGGTGGCCAGGGGCTGGCTGAGTATGCACAGCAGCAGATAGACCGAATTAGCCCAAAAGTACTGCACCGTGGACGCAGAGAGGTCTTTTTTGATCGTCTGTTTCCATTAAAGCTAGGTATTTTCATTCAGGGCATCATTTCTCATCGGAAGTGCGATCGGGAAAAGAGTAGTCTCTAAAGCAACCGAGAAGGCACAGAGGGATATTGATAGAAAGGCAAGATAGAAACGAATACTTTTCTTCGGGCGGATGACTCCCATAACGAACACAGCCAGGTTTTGGCGTGTCGAGTGGAGGTCGGGAAAAGATCAAGACAGGAGAATATCGGCACTGGGAGGCAGTGGACGAGGAAGAAATGCAGGGATGCTTCGGACCATGACAGAGCCTTGCAAGCAACGCTATCCGCCCCGTCGGCTTCCGCACCCCGATCTCTAGTCCCAACGTGGCTTTTTTCACCTATTGATATATGATTGACCCAGGACGTCGCCAAATTGTCTTACCTTGCTTGTTTGCTGTCTGCTTTGTCAGCTTCCATATTCTGTTGCCTGATCTTTCTTTTTATCCGTTCACCTATTTAATCGTGCCTCTAGCTATATTTTCAATTTCTCACACAGCGAAACCATAATGCAAATCGACACCCTTACTGATGCCTTTTGGGGCCCACCAAGCTCTAAAGCCAAGTCAGTTACCTTACCTCTCGTATAGGTCGTCAGCTAACATGGACTAGCTTTTGCGAGCAGGTAGCAGCCCCATTTTGACTCGTATGATCCATGCAGCTGACTTTGACCTTTTTTTTTTCATTCTTAGGATTATGTTGTGACAAGATATGTCGCGGAGTTCATCAACAGTTTAACCAACCTATGTTATGGTACGTAAAGGGATCTTAGGAAAGTGTGTGAGCTCTAACACAGCCATTTAGTCTTCTATGCGATTTACGGCCTGCGCCGATTACAGCAGGCCCGCAGTATTGGTTTCTCTCGCGCCCTCCCTTACTGTGGCTTGATGGCAGTTGGCCTTTGCTCTGCGATCTTCCACATTAGTCTACAATACCACACTCAGATGCTGGACGACCTATCTATGCTTTTCACAACCACCCCACTGCTGCACAGAGTGTTGACAGTAAATGCCAATCGCAAAGACTCATTTGTCGCGGGTGCAGTTATTTACATAGCTCTCTCGTTACTTATAATTTACCACGTCACAACAGATGAATTAATTATTCACGCTACGTTCTTTGTTAGCAGCATCAATATCATCGGTATTCGGACTGTTCAGCTACTCAAACAACGCACCACTGAGAATTCAACAGCTCGGCGACAGATTTGGGGCATGGTTGTATTCGGGGCTGGTAAGTCAATTTATTAGCATTTGATACTTCTTTATGGGCAGCCAAACTAATTCCAGATCAAGGCATCTTTCATCTTGGATATATTGTCTGGCTTGTGGATAGCTGGGCCTGTGAATGGCTTACGAGTGCACGAGCGGCAATTGGGCTTCCTTGGGCATGGCTGCTAGAACTTCACGGATGGTAAGTTGTACCAAGTATCTGTACTTCTACGATTGATTTTCGTGGGCCGAGAGACTGATTCTATATACAGGTGGCATCTCTTCACCGGTATCGGTGCCTATACTTTTATTGCGGTTATTGATCAACTTGTGTCAGGTGGGGATCATCAGGATATTGACGCAAATTTTGCCTGGCCTGTAACATGGGCTTCCCAGTCAATATTTGCCGGAGTTGCTTCTACCATGGTTGGGGCAGATGATAAAAAATACAAGTGAAATTACTCTCAATTTTGTCCTTGAAAAATGCCCACCGAAGTATTCCCGAGTTCCATTGCTGTGTATTGTACATAGAGTGAGAATGAGGGTCAATATCGCCCTGGATCGGTTACGGCCGACTGCGTTAGCCCTATCAGTTGACACGGGCTGTGGTATTGTTAGATCACAAGTCACCTGAACCACTTAGAACTGACGAGGTTCGACCCTTGGGGTTTGTATATAGCTACTAAGATATATATATATAGTCTTGATGGAAACTAGATTTCCGAGTCCATATATACAATTCACAAATAATGTATATTTTATAAGGGAACGACATTGTAGGTATGTTCCGTACGTTAAGCACTTGATCCTAGAGGCTAGAAAAGCGTTTAGATTCTTGAAGAATATCACGGTATATATTTTGCGGTAGTATTAGAGATATATAGAAGCATAATATAGGAGGGGACAATTGATAAGATAGTGCCGCTTAAGATATTCACTTTATCAGCGGTCTAGAGCTTACGCTTAACACTATAATCACATTAGATATAAGAACTTGATAACTATAGCTAAACGGGAAAATATACTATCTGCTAATAAGCTCCTTCCGCCCCTGTCTAGTCCGAGGATGGCATCTCGGATCTCCACTTCTCGCCTACCAGCGAACACCTAGCCGTGTCCTCGTGGGATAAGAAAGTCCGCATCTACGAAATCAACGACCAGGGACAAAGTGAAGGAAAGGCACTCTTCGAGCACGAAGCTCTGCTCCAGGCCCAAGGATTACCTCAATACCTGTAGATTAATATATCTCTTTTTGACACTTGACGAATCTATGAACAGGAAGTAAATGATTTGATTGCCCAGCTGAAGCTGCTCCAAACCACTCTCAATTTTCAACTATTGAAATGAAACCAGCCTGGCTTGGGACAGGAAGTCCTCTAGACCTCAGCTTGTTAACCTGTTTAGTTCTTTTCTTTGAAGACAAATTTCCCCAATTTTCATACAGCTTTAAGTCCGAGCATGACATCCTCGCTATGTGGCACTGAGCAGGAGCCTCTTGTAATATTTCGGCATTAGGCGTATCTCTGGGCAACAAAGAAGCGCACGGCCCGCCGTCAGCATCAGCAGGCACTCGGGAAAAGGTCCGAAGTTCGCTATCCCCTTCAGCAGGGAGCTCGTTGGGGATAGGCTCGGGCTCAGGCTCTTCGGGCCAAGGCTCAGGCTCGGGGGTAGGCTCAGGCTCGAAGGCAGGCTCAGGCTCGGGCTCGGGCTCAGGCTCTTCGGGCCAAGGCTCAGGCTCGGGGGTAGGCTCAGGCTCGAAGGCAGGCTCAGGCTCGGGCTCGGGCTCAGGCTCTTCGGGCCAAGGCTCAGGCTCGGGGGTAGGCTCAGGCTCGAAGGCAGGCTCAGGCTCGGGCTCAGGCTCTTCGGGCCAAGGCTCAGGCTCGGGGGTAGGCTCAGGCTCGAAGGCAGGCTCAGGATCTTCGGGCCAAGGAGATTCATTTGAGATGATTCCGTTTGGTGTGTTCACTAACGATGCAGCAAAAAGTCGAGTCAGCCTGATTACCGTATCGTTAATTTGTTAGAGATGACTTACCGTGCTGATATTTCATGTAAGATATGTGAATAGATAGTATCTCGAAAATCATTTTCATCACCGCATTATCAAACCGATGATCTTGGCCGATAATATCGTAAAATCCGCATAAACCAAGCTCTGGATCATGCGGCTTTACTAACCGCTGCAGGTTTCCTTGAATGTAACCTGGAAGCCAAGTTTCACCTTCGGGGAGGCTTGAAAACACATCCCTCGTGACCCGCAGTATTTCAAGAATAGGAAGCTCCTTATCTAAGTGCTGCATCTTTTGCTGAGCAAGAACTTTAAGACCAGTAAGGCCCCAATTCCTTGACGCATGGTATACTAAAACGCTCCTCTTATATTCTCTGGCGAGATCTAATGTGCCTTCGTCAAGGGTCTCGTAGCCACCTGTGTATAAGAAGTGCACTAAGGTATGCCCAACGTCCTCGCTAACACCAGACATAGTGATACTTGACAATCCAAGAAATGGAGGGGCGAATTTTTGGTAATCCCGAAGGAAATAAGTAGGAATGCCATAATGCTTGCTCCCTATAATAAGGGTAATAAGAGGTAATTCGTAGGGCCAGTGAATAAGTTAGAAGAGGCTGATTATAACTCATTCAAAGGACTCACGATGATAAAGGCCGACGATAGTCAATCATGGGAGAGATCTCTGGCGTGAGGGGTCGCGCTGGCACCTTATTCGACTTAGGTTGCTTCACTTTCTTTGTTCCCATGTTTCAGTCGTTGACTTTGCCGACTATCAAGTAACTTTCGGCAGATTTTCTAAGAAATGTATGGAAGACAAACGTCAGAGAAAACCTGACTTTATATAATACAGGCAGGTAGTAGGGGAGAAGCGGGGGAATGCAAGTATGAGTTGTCCTGCAGAGTGGCCGGAACACGTCATCTGTGCAGTGAATAGCAATTTAGTGTCAATTATCAAAATGCAGTATGAGTCAGTAGATGACCTGCTACGAATGACTGCTTTCTCTTCGAGCCTCGATGTCTATAGATCATAGCGATGGCTTATCCGACAAGCTTACGTGTGGTGCTGATGATCACCCGGGCCGTGAACGGAACCGGGCCGACGTGGGACTGTCCCACTTCGCTCCGACATGGGAAAAAGAATCAGCTAGAGTAGGAACGAGTGGAGTAAATGAGCTGTATGTGATCTAGACACTTATCTTTCGACTCAAGATTAGCGCCTTTCTCGAGTAAGAGCTCAGTGGCAGCTTCCGTAAAGTCATCAAAACAACACACCTATAAAAAAAAATCAGTATAGGAGGGGAAGGACACGTCAGCGGTTTAGGGGGTGCAGGATCTTCAGGTGTAGGTAGAATAGTGGTGTTCAGGACATTCAGGTGAATGGGCTATTGGGACTGAATAAAGAGTGCGGCAAGAGGTTATCTAGAAAAAAAAAAAAAAAACATACAACAGTGAGGATTCGCTGGTGGTCACCCACCCAACTACTAACTCACCGGCGTGTGGCTTAAGTACGGCTGAGCGGACGGGAAGCCCTGTTTTCCACACCCTATGGTCGTATGTACTGGCTATACTACTGGAGAGGATGATATTATGCAAACCGTAAGCTCATAGAGGTGCACTATAAGGTGGTGAGAAACCGGGTGTGGGCGAGTACGGCAGGTTTTTGGGTCCAATGCGCCAACCTATGTATAAGCCTAAGCATGAGAGTATTTCTCCATTTTAAATAGTTTTATGAACTCGATATATGCTATAGTTCAACTTCTAATATCTAAATTGCTCGTATATTCCGTAAACTCTAGCGCTACTATAAAAATGTACACGTAGATTGTACTTTGGTCAACATTTTCTCCACTGCCGAACTGCCGTAAGTTTTTCTCCCAAAACAATATCCCAATTGGCCTCGGTTAGAGGTCTACGCAAAAGTTTCGAATACAGTCAGCCTGCACTTCCTTTTATATAATACCATTCTCCAGCTGCGATTTAAAATACTATGCTCGTTCCTGTCAAAATGCATTTCTGCAGTTTGAAGCTATACGCTGCCTACATTATCCTGGCAGCAATTGTCCTCCGATTTTTCACAAACAGATATAAACGAGGACTGGCAAATATCCCCGGTCCAACTACCGCTAAATACTCCAGTCTCTGGAAGCTGTATAGCGTCTGGAAAGGAAACCACCACCAGGCAGCCCTTGACCTACACCGCAAGCACGGCTCGCTGGTTCGCATTGGCCCAAACCACATCTCGGTCGGCGATCCCAGCGCCATCCCTACAATTTATGGCTTCAACACAGGCTTTACGAAGGTGTGAATGCCATCATTCACAAACACAGATATAAGATGTAAATCACTTACGCAAAATAAAAGACAGCATTCTTCCCAATCCTGTCAATATCATGGAACAAAAGGCCCCAAATGAACCTCTTCTCCACAAGAGATGAAACTTACCACCGCCACCAAAAGCGCATCGTTGCAAATGCCTACAGCGTCTCCTCGCTTCTAGAACTCGAATCCTCAATCGACTCCTGTACAGAGATCTTCACATCTCAACTCTCGAAATTCGCCACAAAAGGCACACCCATCAACCTAGGCCACTGGCTCCAATACTACGCCTTCGATGTCATCGGCGAAATAACATTCGCCAAGAAATTAGGATTCCTGGAGCAAGGCCGCGACGTCGATGGCATGATGCAGGCTATCAAGGGTATGCTTATGTATGCCAGTCTATGCGGACAGGTCCCGAAAATGCACAAGTTTCTCCTTGGGAATCCGCTTTTGACGCTGTTTATGCCCAGCATGGAGTCCTGGAACCAGGTACTGCAGTTCACGCTGAAGGCTGTTAACTCTGTTGCTTCGCTGAAAAGAGATGGGGATAAGATTAATGCGTATCCAGGGGAGGGTATGGGCGGGAAAGATATGATGTCCCGTTGGATGGCAGTGCATCGTGATGATCCCGAGAAATTATCGGTGCGGGATATTATCGTGCATCTTTCTGCGAATGTTTTCGTTGGTGCAGCTACCACATCTATTGCGCTCCGCGCGATTTTGGATTTCATTATGCGGGACCCGCGGATTATGGACAAGGTCCGGGATGAGATCGATGCTGCTGTTTTTTCGGGTAGGGTCGGGAATCCGATCTCGTACCGTGAATCACTAGATCATTTACCCTATATGACGGCTGTCATCAAAGAAGCGCTGAGACTCCATCCTTCTACGGGGTTGATTATAGAGCGGGAGGTTCCTCAACCGGGCGCTACGATTTGTGGAAAGTATATCCCCGGCGGGACTATTGTGGGTATCAATGCTTGGGTTGTGAATCGGAATCCGCGGGTATTCCACGATCCTGATGTGTTTATCCCTGAGCGGTGGCTGGAGTGTACGCCTGAGAAACTGATGGAGATGGAGCAGACGATATTTACCTTTGGGTCTGGGCCGAGGGCATGTGTGGGGAAGAATGTCTCTTTTATCGAGATCCACAAGATAGTCCCGCAGCTACTACGGGAATTTGAGGTTCGCTTGAATGGTCCTAAAGAATTGGAGGTGAGGAATATTTGGTTTGTGCAGCAGGAGGGTATGATATGTGATCTTGTGAAGAGGTGAAATGAGTTCGTCTTGAGGGAAAGGAACCATTGGTTGCATTCAGCTAGTTAATATAGAGAGAGGGGAGGGACGATCAATCCAGATGAAGAAGCAAGGTCCTATGAACCTGAGGCATAAACGGTCTCAACAATTCGTGGTGGTGATGTAGTTCGTACCCTGTAGCTTTCTATCAAGACATAAGAAGCTTTATTTCGTTCTCAGTAATATCTAAATCTACCTCTAGATTACAGATCATAGCCGATAGGAAGGGTCCTTCTGATCCAAAAGCCTCATATAGGCCAACATTCTTCGCTCCAAACTGATATCCCTAAAACTCATTATCACGAGTAACACTCCAGGTTCTCTTAACCTTCCACTCTTCTGGTTGAATCAGGTTGTTCTTGTTTCCAAGCGTACAAGCTGACGCGTGAGATTGAATCTCAGAGGCAGCCAGCAATTCATACATCAAATATCAAGCGGCGCTGATCGACTCCGCAGCTGTGATGACACCATGGTTTCGGAGAAGCATGATGTTGGTCGAACCAAGATCCTCCACTAGAACTTTCTGCTTTGCTCGATCTGTCACGATACCTTGATAGTCGTGATAGCTGACGGGGCCGGCCTGATGTGTCGTTTGCGCTAACTCCAGAAGAAGTCCATGGTTTCTTTCAATATTTAGCAATACATCTTTCATTGCATCATACCTCGAGCTCTGGGCTCTGGTCAAGATAGCTATATTTTGTATAGGATAAAAAGCATCACTTTTCTCCCATTTCCTAGGGCTAGGGGGACTAAGATACGTTGCTTAGTAAAGGCTATGTAATATCTAGGTAGTAGTAACTCAAGTAATTTTTATTTCTTGCATGGCCAAAATCAGGCCTGCGACCCCTAAGTGCTATACCTCTTCGCAGCAGACCCACCTACCCGAGCCGCCTCCTACAAACTCTCAAGAAACGACAGACAGCATTGCGATTGAGGGCTTCCAACCCGCGCTACCCAGCTTCGAGACATCATTCTTAGGGGGAGGGGGGTGGAAGCTGATCGACGCAATTGAAAGGCTCATTGCCCACCAAGGCAGAGCTGCTGGAGGTTAAACACGACCAGAAAGTGCTTAAAAACCACAGCCAGAGAATGTGCCGCCTTGAATTATTATATATTCCAACTAATACCTTAACACCGACAAAACAGAGAGGCGAAAACAAGATGGCTTAGCTTGGAGGGAGCACCTACGGCAAAGCAAGGGAAGCTTGCAAAGTCAGCCAAATCAGTTGGACATACCCCAACGAGGTGCGTTCACGATGATTCCGGTCAGACAACCGGAGATGATACCGGCGCAGGGAAGCGTGATGATCCAACCCATGTAGATCCAGGCAACCATTCGCCAGTTAATCGTTCTCCAAGTGCCGTTGCAAAGCCCAACACCGACGGTAGCGCCAGTAATACACTGGGTGGTGGAGACGGGAAGCTCTGCAGGTGTGACATGTTAGCGAGTGGTCTTATAAGATTACGGGGAAGTGTTCTATTTAACGATAATCAAGGAACAGATAAAAGGCGACATACTTAGCCTGGTGGCAATAATGACAGCAATGGCGGCACCGAGCTCCATAGCAAAACCACGAGAGGGAGAGTGCAGGGTAAGACGGTTACCCAGGTTGCGCATGATGTGATAACCGTATGTCCAGATACCGATGGCGATAGCGGCACCACCAAAGACGCTGAAGAACATGAGTTAGCACGGGAGCGGCCTTTCGTTGGAGGACTGAAGCTTACAGGATCCAAATGGGGACCTCGGTCTTAGCACCTTCAAGGGCACCAGTTCTCCATATAGCATAGATGGTTGCGTAGGGGCCGACAGCGCTGCGAATAGTTAGTACAAGAGTCGATATTAGATAGGCGAAGGGGAAAAACTAACTTGGCCACATCATTTGCACCGTGGGTGAAAGAAGCAGTACAGGCTGTCAGAATTTGGAGGAAAGAAAACATGTACTCCGCTTCGTTATCATAGTGGTCAGCATGGGCATGGGTCTTCTCGAGATCACCAGCGAGTCTGCTCTCGCCCTTCTGGGCGCTAACAATGTCTTGCTCGATACCGTTGAAGAAGGCCTTCTTCAGCAGCCAGAGCAGGACGGGAGTGCTATACCATGCTCCCTCGGGGCGAGGACCACAAAGGTTGATGACATCAGTATCCACGGATTTTGTCTCATCATGCGAATTGGCAGTGACCTGGGTCTCTGCCTTGATATCGGGGGACTCAGGCTCACTGTTGCTGTTGCTGTGGCTTTGTTCGACATCAGTGGAACGCTCGGCTTGGAGTTCCTCTAGAGTCTTGTGGCCGCGATAATAGTTACGGACGGTCTCAACATGGGCAGGAGGGGCAGGGACTTCACCACGACGGAGGAGAAGAGGGCCGTAGATCAAATCCCAAGGCTTGAGTTGCCAGTCATTCATGATTACCCTGCGGTAGATCCAGGGGCAAAGGAAGACGGCAGAGATAAGAGCCATGCCAGCGCCAACACCGATAACAGTTCCAGCTATCTCAGGCCCTTCGAGGTCAATCCTGCTGCTGCCGCCCTTCCAGACAATAAGCACTGTGTTTTATTAGTATCTGATACAGAGGGATCAGGGTCTTGAGGGAACATACTAGTAAGGAGGCCAGTAGTCAAGAGGAAGTAGAATGGAATGGTGTACAAAGCCTTGAGGGCGGGATTCTTCCGCAGGAGGATACCATACTTGGTGATCAAAAAAATAAGTGCACCAGCAACACCAGATAAGAGAGGTGCAATAACCCAGGCAAGAAATACCTGGACAACACCAGAGTTAATATCACCTCCCCACCAGATAATATCATCAGCACCAATAAGCGCGATACCCATTCCAAGAATACCACCGAGAATGGAGTGGGTTGTGGAAACAGGAAGGCCAATCTTGGTACAGATGGTAAGATAGATAGCGGAGGCAACCACAGCGCAGCACATTCCAAGCATGAGGAGGGGGGCGTTGTTGGCGAAAGCATCGATCTTGACGATCTTGGTACGGATAGTATCGGAAACACTGTTTCCTACACCAACACTGGGAACACAATTGAGCACAAGATTAGGAATCGGAAATCAGGTCATAAACTTACGCTCCAGCAAACTCCATGATAGATCCGAGGACCATGGCCTGCCAGTGCTTTAGCGAACGCGACGAAACAGACGTTGACCAAGAGTTGGCGCAATCATTGGCGCCGATGTTCCAGGCATCGAGGAACGCGAAAATTGTGCCAATAGCAAAGATGTAGTCGTACTGCTGAAGAACCATCTTGACGGTTGGCAGAAAGAAGCAGCGCGCTGGCTTGTCCTTTCTGGAAGGGTTCTAGAGGGCTGACGAGATAAAAGGGAAATTAGTATGATGATCCAGACTAGGACTTTATATATGCCAGCTCTGATCCGGGCCAGGATATGGCAGCCCTTGCGCTATAGATACGACGATGCACCGATCTAGCATGCCAAGCTGCCCAGGCCCGCCGCGCCGCCAAGCAATCGCTCTGGTGCCTAGGCACTGGCCGAGATGGGTCTCCGCCGACGAATCCTGCCATCGCATACAAGAACGTGTCCACCCCAGGTAGAAAACTCCAGACTAACTGCCCATAACCACGCTAAACGTCGCATAAATTTCTCAGATGGTACAGAAACACGAGGTACTCTCTGCGAACGCCCTTCTTCCGACTGGCACACCTGCATTCTCCTATTGGGGCAGAAACGTGAAGGCCACGATTGGACCCCAGCTGCTATAGCCATAATCTCCCCTGACCCTTGGCAGGACAAATGAGCTCGAACCGGTGCGCCATGTAGGCATCTTACACAAGCCTCACAGCCTGGTATTCATCACATCGTGCTTGGATTCAAACTTCTTATTGGATGGGTTGATTAATCTATTGACATTGAGCCCTGAGTCTGATTTTGACCTCCGGTGCACCTCTGATACTGCGTGGCCACCGTGACTCAGCTCTCTCAGTTCCTCGACCTGTTTCTGGGGGTGTGATGAGCATACAAGGTCTTGTGACGCACCTCAAATTGCTTGGTATTTTCCATGATGGTCGACCGGTATTTGGCCCAAATTTCGTTAGCATCTTCCATGGATGACTGAGCGCACCCTTTGAGTAATTGTCGTTTAATGCAGGCCTGGATGTACCCAACAGCGCCTGGGAATGAAGCATTGGATTGCAGGAGTAGGTGGTGCGACAGATTACATATCCCCAGTCCGGGAGACTGTAAAGTCTATTACGGAGCTCTTCCATGCCTGGGGGTGACTGAGTGTAAGGTGTGTTGGCGGGTAGTTTGAAATCTGACTTGGGGGGGGTTGGCGAGGGGAAAGAGATGAGGGAAAGTTCCGCGCTCTGACATGTATGGTCACTAACGGATGTTAGAGCCTAATATATATACCGCTACAGAGATAAGGAGACCTTCTGTCCTTATGATCTTTTGGCCTAGCGGTATAAATGCTCTTATGTAGCCCCTTAGGAGTAGCGGCCTAAGTTTCACTTAGGATTAGACTCCAGCATATCTCGTCTTCCGTAGTAAATAGTCTCCTTTCTCTCTCTCCACGCATCAAGAGATTTTCCAGAGAGCCTTTCTTCTTGTAGACTCCTAGATTCTCTCTATCAAGATTCTTTCTAGGTATCGTTATTGTGTAACCATTAGCATAGTGGATAGCCTGGCATCACCTGGACATGCAACTTGATCCCGATTTGGCCGTCGTGTAATCACCCCCACGGCCCGGCCTCTTAAGTAAAAATAGATACTATTAGGAAAGGTCGCAAATAATCTAAGCAAACAAGGGTTAAGGAAACGCGCGGTCCTCAAACTGATTGTGCGAAGCAGCGGGTACCATCGGATCTGTAGCTAAGAACCCTAAATATGCCTCCTGTAGCCTCGTTCACTGATTCGAGTTTATATAGCCTTTATATACCCGAGCAGATATGAAGCGTGGAGAACGGTATGAACACCCTGATGGAACGTACATCTCCCTCCCGTGGTGGGTTCCATTTGGGCAGACCGTCTCACGCGCTATGGGCCTCGTAGTGGGACGATGGGTGGGCGGTTTACTGGGCTATCAGCCTTCCTATCGTAAATTGACGTCATATTGGGCTTTGGCATGTCAAAAAATGGAGTCTTCATTCTTTCAACGGCGATTTGCCGATCGCTTAAAAAAGATGGATTGATATAGCAATCGATTCATGTAACTACCCGGCTCATGAGATATTCCTCCTCAAATTACCTGCATGTTTTTAATCACAACGTGAATTATCCGCTCCTCTAATTATTGCTGTCTACTCCGAAATGGTCTTAAGAATCTCCTCCACATTTATAAAGGCTAGTTCTTCCTACTAGTCATAATGTAGTTCTTTTGTCACTATTCTTAATTGGGACAGATTGAGGCTCGACTAGGCTCGAAGGAATATACCTGGGTATTTCTAGAACTAATTGCAACCAAACATCGCTAAGGAAACTCATTTATAACAGAAGATTTAATGGGAATTCACCGATAAGGCGGACCTTTCAAGAAAAGGTCTTGGCCACTCAATGCCATCTGTGTAGAAGATACAAATACCTCTCCTGTCCGTTATTATATGAATATTACAGCAACAAAAAAAGGAGAGAGGTCCTCCGAAAGTTTGAGTATTTTGTTGGTGTAAGTAAATCTTCTCTTCTGCCCAGGTGTCCGTCCACTTCGAAGGTGGCTGATATATTTCCAAAATTGTAGCAGAGAGTGTCGCCTTTGGCTTCAACGATGCTTCTCCCCTCTATCCGTAACCTTGGCCTGGTAGCTCTTGCTGCCTTTGTCGCGGCCAAGCCTCCTCCCATAACCTACGATATTTCTAAACCAAAGGATCCGCTTGGCAATCTCAAGGTCACTCTCGATTATAGTGCTGCAATAACTTGGCCTAAGAGCATAGTGGGGAACATGGCAAACAACATTCCACGCACTTGGCAGTACAGCAGCCATATCGTTTTCGCAGATACTGTTATTTATAAGAAAGATGAGGAAGGTAACAAAGTCGCCGGAATCTCCGACGGGGAGCTCTGGTAAATTTCTCGAGATGCAGTCGACGAAATGGTGGCGGACCGAGAAAATTACGGGAAAGGCCTAGGGGCAATGAAATTCTTCTTACCTCTTCTATGAAGGGCGCGCCTGCTTTCTTTTATGACTTCGAAGGCGGCGAGTCAATTGTCGGCAAAGTTCTAACGACGTGCGCGATTTTGTCACAACGCCACAAGAACCAGGCCAACTGTGCAGAGCCTATGTCAGTCCACCTATATTACAAATATATAGGTATTACTCGTAAGCCGCTGGCAGAGGAAAGTCCGAGGATTGGGGTTTAGGTCAAACGAAGTGGGAGTGGCTGGACACTAACAGACCCATGTGGAACAGGGGAAACAGTAAGGAACTAATTTGCTCATAACCTTGGCCTCCTCAGAAACCAACTAACGAATGCGCAGACATTTTGGGGTTGTAATTTGTTCACTAAAGCGGTCGGGATGAACCCTATTAGTACCATAACGCCATTGGGCGCCCACGAGTTGGAAGATCTCGCTGGAGGGCCGATTAGTAAGGACCAAATTCAGCTCTGTGGCAGGGTTAGAGAATTCTGGAAGAAGAAATAAGTGCATTTTGGATAGTTATCTAGAGAAACATTGGCTGTGGAATCGTTGGTACTGTATCATAATTGGGATCTCGCAACATGTGACCTGACCACCTGGGTTTCATGCCAGTTATTTGAACCTCGACTCCGGACTGGGTTCCTAAATCTCTTAACCCCTGTATTATATCAGGTTGCCAACCGATTGTTTTCATCTCACTTTCTAACAGGCAAAATCCTCGAAGATTAGGTGTGTGCCTCCTCCAATCTTGAAGCCATGATCGAATAACCTCTAAAAGGTAGTCCGGCTCCCATTCCCACATCCATTGTGCATTTGAAGAAAAGTCGTCGGTTAAGGTCAGCCACTCAAGACTCGGAGGAAGCGTAACTGGTAAGTGATTTGCTTTTGACTCCGAGGGGGAAAATCCAAGTAGAAACGGAATCGGGACCTGCAATATTTTCAGGTTTTCGAGCCCGCTAAAGACCTTGAACGATCCACTAAATTGGACATCTGGGCCTTCCAGGTCGGCTTTGTAGCGTTCTGACCCGGCTGTAATGGTTAGGTCTGTTAAGTTCTCTTTAACGTGAGATAGGCCCGCGGCGATTTGGTCTAAATCGATGATATCGGTGACAGAATCATCTTCTAGATCCCAACGGTAATGCCAATCCCATTCTAGCTTCTGAAGCCTAGGTGTAACCGATAAGACTTGGCCAAGATGTCTCTCACGTAACATAGTCGAGTCAAGTGTCGTGAGTCTCCGTGGATTTGGTGGATTCTTTCCGGTCCATGCGAAAGTAGCAGGGTTATCGACCAAAGCCCTAGTCGTGTAACTGATGGTAGGTAGAAGAGAGGGAGGATGTCTTGTGTGTTCCTAGTATCCGTTTTCTCGCGAATATCGTAGTAAAGACAGGCAGAATCTGCAGGCATATCTTTAAGATATGCGAAAGAACTGAGATGGCTATTTTTGGGCTCCTCGCAGAGTGCCGACCGGAGCATCATGCCCCTGAGGTGAGTCTCTCGGTTGTAGTTTTTGTCAAGGTAGAGACGCTTCAGATTGTGGAGTTGTGATATGAGAAGAGTGGCGAACGCGTCCATCGATCCGGCGCGTAGCTTTTGGGTCCATTTATCAGCATAAGGAACATTGATCCTTGTAATAAACTCCACCAGCTCATTCACGACAGGTTCTGTGACTGGAATTTTGGGGCTTTCATTTCCTGGGTCATCTACGCCCTGGTCAAAACTGTCACCGTGAAGGACCACATCGTGAACATACGTTGCGAGCTCGGGCCTCTGAACGATGCTTCGCAAGAATTGAGCGATTGGGGGGTGCTGGGAGTCTGACCACGTCTATTGAATGCGGGAGTAGAGAATGGCTCTGCAGGGAATCTCAAGTCCCTATGCGTAAGGCATACCGCGGCAAGATCGTTGTGCGATAGGGAAGTAAATATGATGCGAAGAGTCTCTGTAGGTGTCGAGAGAAGGGACGCCATTTTCTTTAACGGTGAGTTCTGATGTCGAGCAAAGATGCCGACACCGAGTGCTGCAGGGTGCTAGATATTTATACCGTACTTCGTTCGGGGTACAGACCTGGGCAGGCTAGGCCGCCGATCTAAGCGAGACATTCCAAGGTTACCACTGCAATCCACTAGGCCTAACCAGGATAGTCGCGTGTTTCGCTTTAAAATCATACAATACTCTGAACATCTTATTGGGGCCTAGAGCGAATTTCGTTTTGAAGACAGCATGTTTTGTGTGGCACTAGACCAGGGCCTGCATGTACCAATTCTTTCGTGCCTTTACTAAGCAGGGAATATATGGCCACGATGTAACAATGTTCGGTTACAAGACCTAAAGTACCAAAAGCCAAGACATTATTATGGAGCTGGTCGATATATGGCCGCTGATTGGTGATTGGATTGATTGGGACGGGAGCGGATAGATAAGCCTTTCCATCAATCTGGGCATTTATATTCTACTCTTCCACTCTGAATCGTCTACGGAGTACTCCGTACGGAATAAAAACATTGCATGTACATCTAAAATGACACAGGACAACTCTTCACTGCCTTGGAGCCTGTTTTAAGTAATGGGGGGAGTCATTTAACATGAAATCAAATATTAATTGACAGCATCTACTTCTTTTCGCTTCCCCTATCATTGATATGGCTCGACAAGATTGCAAACCCTGCAACCCAGTTGGTTTCTACCACACCCTGCTTATTCCATATAAGCACCCCGGCCATGTTCTGGCTACTGCAGCGTACTAGGAGCCCTCCTGTTGTTGACTCAATAAATCTTGCATTTCTAGCGAAGGACTGAGTGTCCTTGTAAGTCTTTTTGACCATCCGACCTCGAGAAATTCCCATGTGACGATCTGTGTTTTCCAATTTGATAATTAAAACGCCTTTAAATCTACCTCTCATGTTTCAAATGTGAAAATTTCTGATCTCAATTTTTTTCCGGTGTTTGCACGTATCTGCAAGTCAAGGCGCTTGGAGACGTACTCTATGAAGTCATCGTTGCTGTTGCCGGTAAGAACAATTGTGAATTTACCATTGAGAAGAAGGACTCCAAGCGAATCTTGAACAAATTTGTTGAATACAAGGCTTATAGTGCCATTCTGCTTCGAATTGGTGATGAGGTCAAGAGCATCTATGCTGTGTGGACTTTAGATCCTATTAAGAAATGGGTGAGTGATAGTATGGATATTCTGATCTTAGAGCAGTAGTGTGGGCTAGTACAATTCTTTGCTGGAGGTTGATAAGGTGGTTATGGTCGATATATTTGATGTCATATATGCATTTTTCCTTGTTAATCTACTCCTATCCACTCTCAATTTCTTGCAAGTGTTGCATTTCCCATGTTCTAAATAACGAACGATTTAAATATATTCATAGTTGAGTTCATTGGAAGAGTAGTAGAATTGAGAAATATGAATATATAACAGATGTATCTTTATTGGAGGAATTTCTCAAAACCACCAACAGAGCGCTTAAAAAACAGCTAACACAGCCTCGAAGGTGCTTCCAATCCATGACCTATTCAGACGAGCAGCTGCACCAGACGAGGTAGTCGCCACAACACCTCCACTCGTCAAAGATGAGCTACTATCCCCAGTCGGCGTCGAGGTTATCTTTGCGTCGCTGCCAGCCTTGGTTTCCTCAGCCGTGGTTGACGCAGGGGTGGCCGGATTGGTGACTGTTTCCACCGTGGTCTCCGGGCGCACGCCAGTGTTCGTGGCGGTGATAGTCACGACCAAAATGACACCCTCGCTCATCATGTTTGCTGGCAAGGATGACACCGTGGTCGACCCTGAGTCTGCATCTGACATGTATACTTTGCAGTCAATGGAGGAAGGTGCGAGAGTACTGCAGTATTGGGACATGTAACTGAGTAGGCGAGGACTGTTAGCATTTTCTTTGATACGAGATCCTTGCCGAAAGGAATATATTTGGGGGGAAGAACATACTCTCCGTCAGGGTACCTCCAAGTCTGGTGGTACGTAGATGGGCCAACAACGATGGTACCTGGGATTTCTTCAATCGCATACGATGTGAGGGATCCGGACTACAGTACCATGTGTTAGAGCGTGTCAGGGATCAGATAAGCACTATCATAAAGTAAATATACATACCGATCCAACCACCTGTCCAACGCCAGTTCTGGTTTCATTTCCTAAACCAAGGTGAATGGTAACAACATTAGCAGTTGCTGGTACTATGGCTGCCGACAGGGCGAGGACATAGACGCTAAACATGATGGATAGATGCTATTGATTTTAGGGAAACAGCCCCATCTTATGTTATATATAGCGGTTAAAGCAGAATACTAGTGCCAGGGGCTGTAATTTGATGGTATTGTTGCGGCTTTAAATTACATACAACTATCCATGTATGTACATCCTCGTCCCGTGGACATATGTAGCGAATACGAGAGTCGCATTTAAACGCGATTAATTAAAATTGAACAGCCACATATACTACCTCTTGTGGAAGGCGTAAACTAGACAAGCCTTACTTATATCACGACTTGAGCTCGAGTGAGAGAGCTCTGTCAGGCAAGAAAAAGAATCGAATGAAGATATTTTATTATTATAATAAGTAATAAAAATTAATGAGCGACGCAGGGATCGAACCTGCAATCTTCTGAGAACTGTTTGAGCATAGCTCGGCCGAAATCAGACGCCTTACCATTAGGCCAGCCGCCCTGGATTATGTAATTTATTATTATATAACTAATTATCTAGATACGAAGACAAGGAATATGAGGTTATCAGACAGCTGCCATATGATGGAGGAATCATGACGGCAGTTTCTGCCGGAGGAATGGAAAGATGGGGCGTGTGCCGCCCGCCGCCTAAGCAGCTGACTGAATTCGGTTCCTTCCCAGTCTGTTGTATTGTAGTTTTGTAGAACTATCACCACCCTCTCGTTGAATATTCTCTGTCGGATAGATATACTTCCCTGTTAATCCGCAGGATAGAGAGCTATCTATAGCAACTAATCACCCTTAGTGAACACCTAAGGAAGACTATAACTAATTACATATTGAAATAACAACATATATACATACGCAGACTATCTTCCAGTAATTAACCATCTGGGTCCCAATGTGACGATCCAGATGTGTAGGGATCTTTTTGGTAGAAAGGATTCTGCCATGCGTCGCCGCCTAGGTGTTTGTTGAAGTGAGATGACTAAGCGAGAAGGCTGGTGTTTGCAGTGTTTGCATTCAGAGAGAGAGATAATAGCTCTCTCAGTCTCGCAGGTCCTTCTCTCTCTTTCTTTCCTTTTCTCATGTTTAGAATTCTAGTTGAAATGCACTCTTTTTCCTAAAAGATCTGGCTGGTAACATAATTCTAAACATCACTTTCATTTCCAAAGGCAGCAAGACTGTACAGATCTTCATTGTGATAGGTCTCGGTCACGCCTTACCCCACTTTTCGTTCCTTGGCATCGCATAGCCAAGACCTGAACCTGATACCGAACTCCGAACTAATCAGAATGGTCGGAACTAGACAGAACCCTGGCAAGCGGCCGATGGCTACTTTGTCTGATGAAGAAGACCGAACTGAGCGACCGACTGTTATTTAAGAACCGACGACCCCAGTGATGACTGGTGAACCTGATGAAGATGATGATAACGCTGAAGAGGGAGCCTCTATGCGTGAACGACTACAGAAGACCCCGACGAAAGAACGATTCTACGAACTTGCACGTGAATACAACAAATTGAAAGAGAGACTTCAAGAGCTTAAGGATGAAGTCTCTATTCTCTAAGCTGATAAGGTTAATACTGAGGCTATGGTTAAGAATCTCGTTATTGAACGAGATGAAGCTATTACTCATCGAGACATTGCCATTCGTGAGCGTGGTGACCTTACTTTCCGACTTATGAATCTCCAGAACCAGACTGGCACCGACGAACCGATTGCGGGGGCCGCTGCTACCCGAAAATCTACGAAGATGCCTGACGCCCCGATGCTGAATGACGGAAAGGAAGTTCGATTCGAAACCTGGGAAACCGTGATCCGCCAGAAACTTAAAGCAAACGCCGACCATTACCCGTTACCAGTTCACCGAAAACTCTACGTACAGAGCCGTTATGAAGGGAAGGCTCAGCTACATATTACACCTCGTCTCAACGCAGAGTCAATGAACCCGTACCGTGACTCTGAAGATATGATCGCCCACCTGAAAACTGTCTTCGCGAACCCGAACCGTCGTTCCGAAGCCTACACTGCGTATCACAAATTAAAGATAAAGCTAAAGGATAACTTTACCGATTTCCTTGCTGAATTTATGTAACTTACCGAAGAAGCTACCGTGGTCGAAGAAAACCGAAAGCGTGATCTGTATTCGAAATTACCATACCTACTTCAGAGTTAAGTGATGTGGGCAGTGAACCAGGATACCGTTTTGTTCGACACATTCACTCAGAGTTACCAGAGCATGTCCCATGAGATCAATCTTCAGCAGGAAGCAAAGTCCACCTCACGTACCCGGCCTACGATCCTAGCTACCGGCGGAAGCGGTGCGCTTACCACGAATCAGTCAAATACTCCTCGTGTGAAGCGGGAGTACACTCCTAGCCTATTAATGTCCGAGAGAGAAACCTTAATGAAAGAAGGTCGATACTTTAACTATAAGGAACAAGGACATATGACCCGTGATTGCCCGAAGAAGAAGTTAAACCCTCCGACGATTGCCGCCACCGCTCCCCGTGTGAATGAGGTCGCAGAACTGGAATCCCATGTCAATGATAATCAGGGAAAAGCCAGTGCCTAGGTTAAGTCTCCTGCCTAGGTGGACAGAAAGTATCACTGTACTCGCTGGATTTAAAGAAGTTGATTAGACGTCCTAGAGATAGTTTAGTTTTCAATACTTAACTAATACATAATGGACGCTCCTTCTCTCTTTTAGCACTTAGTGATACTGGAGCAGACGGATACATTTTCATTAACTCAGTAACGATAATACTACTTAGAAAACGATTCGGCATCCGAGTAGAGAGACTTCCACAGGAGTGTCCAGTCAAAGGATTCGACGGAAAACTTAGCGAGCTAATCAGATATGTGGCATTCCTCACTATTTATGTCGATGGAAGGATATAACGACAAGTTCTAATGTTAATTACAGATCTCGGAAAGTACGATCTGATTCTTGGACGTATGTGGTTCGCAGAACACGACGTTCTCCTTGATTGTCGACGACATCGCATGATTTAGTCAAAAGAGGAGACTCTCTTTAATAACGTGGTAAGTAAGATGGCAGTTCCTACGCCTACCTCTATCCTTCAGAGACCAAAACAGAATACCGACCACTAAGCTGACGTCGATCGACGAGATCGTCTCTTCCGAGAAGAAGAGGTAGTAAATAAGGACTATCGGCATATAAGAGAACACCAGTCCGGACACTGGCAAGTGGAAGAACAACGAAAGATGGCCCGAAACTTAAACGATGAAATAAAGACGATGACCCCGAAGATCAAGGATCGAAATGAAATGACACTGTTAATCGATATTAGTGCCGTTAGAGGTGTTGGTTTTAACAGACTCCATGAGAAAGGAAAGGTTAACAAAGAAATCGAAACCTTTGCAACTTCCCTCTATGAGATTAACCATATCATCGATGTGAAAAGCATGTAAGCTTAAGATCCTGAGATTGTGGAGATCCTAGCGGTTTTGCCGAAAGAATACCATGACCTAGCAGAGGTCTTTTCGAAAAAGAAATCTGATGAGTTACCACCCTACAGACCTAGTGTGGATCATGATATCATTCTCGAGGCTGAAGCATAACCTGGATACTGTCCTCTTTACAAGCTATCACTTAAAGAACTGAAAGCAGCTAAGAAGTACATTCTTGATAATCTTAAAAAAGGATTCATTGTCCTAAGTTCAGCTCCATATGCATCCCCGATCCTAATGGTAAAGAAACCTAATGGAGGACTTCGCTTCTGTGTCGATTTCCGAAAACTGAATGCAATTACGAAAAAGGACTGCTACCCTCTACCGTTGATTAATGAGGTGTTATAGCGAATAAGTAAGGCCAAGATCTACATAAAGCTTGATATTCAGTAAGGCTTCCACCGGATTCGCTTAACACTAGGAGCAGAAGATCTTACTACTTTCCGTATAAGATATGGGTCTTTTAAGTATAAAGTAACACCGTTTGGATTGACGAATGGACCGGCGACCTTTCAAAGATTTATGAACGACGTTCTTCGGGAATGTCTAGACGAGTATACAGTCGCTTTCGTGGATGATATCTTGATCTATAGTGAGAATATCGAGGACCACCAGCGATAGGTCAGAGAAGTACTCCGTCGCCTATAAAAGGCAGGGTTATAAGTTACATTATCGAAATCCGAGTTCTCGGTACAGAAGACTAAGTTTCTCGGATTTATTGTGAGTACGGATGGAATCGCAGTTAATCCGGAGAAGATTAAGGTGATTCAGTCATGGTAAGTGCCGACCACAGTGAAGGGAGTGCAGTCATTCCTAGGATTCTGCAATTTCTATCGACGATTCATACAAGGATACAGCGCCATCTCGAAACCATTACATCGACTAATAAGATAAGATGTCCCGTTTAAATGGTCAGCTAACTGTGAAGAAGCATTCCGAATTTTAAAGAAAAAGCTAGTCAGTGCACCGATTCTCCGACATTACGATCCTAACCGACGAACTCGAGTTGAGACAGACGCATCTAATGGAGTTCTCGGAGCAGTCCTCTCCCAGTATTACGAGAAGGAAGATTTCTGGCATCCAGTAGCATTCTACTCGAAGACTATGTAACCTGCAGAACTGAACTACGAAATACGAGACAAAGAACTCCTTGCTATCGTTCGTGCTTTACAGGAGTGGAGACCTGAACTCGAAGGTCTATCTAAGAAGGATCGTTTTGAGATTCTTACTGATCACCAGTCACTGGAGTACTTTATAATAACCCGGCAAATGAATCAGCGACAAATGAGATGGAGTGAGTTCCTCTCCCAGTTCTATTTCAGCATCAAGTATCGTCCTGGAAAGAAAAACATTATTGCCGATGTCCTATCACGAAAGGAGTCCCCCTGTATAGATAATGGACGATAAATCACGATGCTCCTAAAGGACTGTCTCGAGGAGGGAGTCTACCCGGCAACTCACTTAGCTCCAGTAGAACCAGATGAACCAGACAGACCAGATATGATTGAGATCATTAAACGAGTGAAAGAAGCAAATCGTCGAAGCAGTGAATTAAACGAATTCCGCCAGATAGCGTAAACTGGAGATAGTACCCGGTGGACACTACACGATGGATTACTCCTTTACGAAGGACGACTCGAGGTCCCGGAAGAGGGAGACCTCCGTGCTCGCCTACTTAATGACATACACCGATAACCGCTAACTGCACATCCGGGCATTAAGAAATTAAAGAAACTAGTATCGACGCGATATCACTGGCATGGATGGGTGACCGATGTGAAGCGATACGTCGATAACTGTCTGATCTGTAAACGCACAAAGGCTTAGAGGGACCGAACACCTGGATTCCTACATCCACTTCCTATCCCAGAGAGACCCTGGCAGCATATCTCGATGGATTTCCGCTCATTTCCGAAGGATCGGCACGGTTATGATACCGTTTTTGTGGTGGTTAACCGCTTTAGCAAGAGACCAATTTCTATTCCCTGTTACAAAGATATAAATGCGAAGCAAATGGCCCGTTTGTTCATTGATAATGTTATCCGAACCACTGGAATACCGGAAACTATTATCTCTGACCGCGGAGGACAGTTCGTTTCGGAGTTCTGGACTGAGTTCTGTAGAATCCTTGGAATTAAAAGGAAGTTATCAACTGCTTATTACCCCCAGACCGATGGTCAGAGTGAGATTATAAATCAATATATGGCCCAGAGACTACGGCCGTACGTTAAACAGAACCAGGATAACTGGTCAGAGTTACTACTAATGGTAGATTTCGCAGCTTCCATTCTTCCCCAGGATACTACGAAAAAATCCCCATTCTTCATCGAGAGAGGTTATGAGCCGGCTATGTCGTTTGACTGGAAAGACTAAGAAAATGTGACACCGAATGAGCAAGACGCCGTACGGATGCTTTCTGAACTACAAGAAATCTGGACTCAGACAAAGGAGCAGATTACAAAGTCACAGCAGTTACAAATTCGCCAGGCAAATCGGCATCGACGAGAAGAAGACTTTGGTGTTAATGACTATGTTTTCGTGACGACGAAGGACTGGCAGCTTACACAGCTAGGTCGGAAGCTTGCCCACTAAGCGAGTGGTCCATACAAGATCGTTAAGAAGGTCGGAAACTCTTATGAACTTAATCTGCCAGATTCGATTCAGGTGCACCCAGTTTTCTATGCTAGCAAACTACGGAAAGCGGCAACAACCGAGCCCTTACTTAGACAGCATACTGATCCCCCTCCACCAATTAAAGTCAATGAAGAAGACGAGTGGGAGGTCGATAAATTACTGGATGCGAGAACGTATTACCGGAAGCTACAGTATCGAGTCCAATGGCTCGGTCATGATCTCGATCTACAATGGTATCCCGCAGGAAATTTCAAGCATGCTCCGCAGAAGATTCAAGATTTCCATGACCAGTACCCTTCAAAGCCAGGTCCTCCTATGCGCTTACAGGAATGGGTTGATGCAGCAAAAGATGAAGTGATTCTTGAAGAGCACGCAGATGACGATAAACCGGCATTCAGGGACTGAATGCGTTCTTAGCCGGGGGTTATGTGACGATCCAGATGTGTAGGGATCTTTTTGGTAGAAAGGATTCTGCCATGCGTCGCCGCCTAGGTGTTTGTTGAAGTGAGATGACTAAGCGAGAAGGCTGGTGTTTGCAGTGTTTGCATTCAGAGAGAGAGATAATAGCTCTCTCAGTCTCGCAGGTCCTTCTCTCTCTTTCTTTCCTTTTCTCATGTTTAGAATTCTAGTTGAAATGCACTCTTTTTCCTAAAAGATCTGGCTGGTAACACCCAAATTGTTTTATCACCTAACTTCATGACCTTAACTCTTTGTCTCGCAATGGCACAATTAACCACGTGTACCATATAAATACTGCAACGTAATTCACATGCGAGCTAGCTACTACCCAACACACCATAAGTAAAAGCGATAATTTTACTATAGACTGAATCTAGCAACCCACGTTTTTTTTTATTTCATTGTTTATATATAGATGGTTGTTAAACATATCAACACTATATATATATATATATCATATTTAAATATTTAAACCCTATATATACTATTACGGTATCAAAACCATGAGCCAGAAATGAGCAAGTTTCTCTCTGGCGTAATTAACGGATGGTCGGTCGTCTACAGGAGGTGCCTTAAAAAAGACTTACATGATAGATATATAGGAGAACTTATCGTATAAATATTTATTTATTTTTCATTTATTCGAAAAAAATGAGCGACGCAGGGATCGAACCTGCAATCTTCTGAGAACTGTTTGAGCATAGCTCGACCGAAATCAGACGCCTTACCATTAGGCCAGCCGCCCTATATTATATTAGTGGGATAGGTAAGAAAATTAAGAGTTAAAACCAACGTTATTGAGACAATATTGTTACCTATATAACGTATTCGGTAAATGAGCTGTGTAGACATAGTGAAAGGCATGACTACGACGATTTATAGCGCTAATGACATATACATGGATTTAATTATGTTTAGTGTTAACCACCCCCCCCAATTCCATATTAACCACTAACAAGTTTCAGGATTCTTAACACCACGCAGGCAGATCTTCTAAGATCTACCCCTTAAATTTCCCATCCTTGGGTGGCTTTAAGTATTATGTTGTACGTTGTTTTATATTTCTCCCTTAAAACCACCATAGCGAGAGCAAGATGTCTATAAATAGCATGTAAGCTTTGTTGCCTTGATAGAAATAACAACAAGAGCTTATAACACGGTTCTCCGCGTGAAGAAAATAACCTTTTCCTTCTTCGAAACCGTGCGGATATGTAGGAATACCCAGGAAACAGAGACCTCAGAAAATAAAAGCAGAATAAAAGCAGAGACTAGGGAAGATGAACATCCGATTCAAACTCTTGAAGGAGAGATTCAGAAACAGCGTCGGCAAGAGCCTCCGGATCAATTATTTCAATGATTTTTCGACCACCCTGAAATCTCACTATGAAGCTATTAAAGGGCTATATCCACACCCTACGGGAGTACATGCTTGATACAACACTGGAGTGTATAGTATGCAAGTGACAGGGGAGTTTGATGGCGGGGATGGTTTGCACCAAAAAAAAAGAAGTTCCCACCTACAATCCAGCCGCTGCTCATGGGGCCAATAGCAAGGCAACCCAACCGAATCCCCGATGATGATCAGTGCTGATATTGATAAAAGGGGTAGAATTGAAAAAAGGAAAAAGACTGAAGCCAACGCCAACGCCAACACAAAACAAGTAAATCATTTATATACTTGACACCAAAGATAGGACAGCGCCATTAGTATGTCATATCATATCATTGAGAGGGTTTCTTGACCCCGCCTGGGTTTCTCTCATTCAATATCGTGAATAATTGTTTTCGTTGGATCGGTTTCGCTAAAAAAAGGTCCATTCCTGACCCATAGGCTTCGTGTCGATCACTAGCACTTGCAAGGCCAGTCAGAGCGACAATAGTCACAGGTGTAAATGATTCTTTCGCTGAGATATCGAGTCCGCTCTGATACTCTCGCTCAGCCTTGCGAATAAGCCGAGTAGATTCGAACCCGTTCATTACAGGCATGGAGATATCTGTGCTTGTCAGAACAGTGCTTCATATACAAGAAACCAAGAACTTACCCATCAGGATTACTCCGAATTTTGTAGGATTGGCTTTGAAAGTGTTCAACGCCTCCAAACCATTGCGGGCAGTCGTATACCTGTATCCTTCTTTCTTCATATGTGCAACCAATATCTGCAGATTGATATCATTGTCTTCAACCAACAACACTGTCAGAGTAGGCTCCTCTATCTTGGGCAATTCCTGTCGAATTGGTAAAGCGATGGCATCACTTTCATTTTGAGAAAGATGAGGTTGCTGCGAGTATTCCGTTTCGTCCAACTTGCGGTATTCATCATCTATCGCCTTTTTTCCTGCTCTGTGTTTTTTGAAATCCATCTCATCTTCTGCACGTTGTGTTTCGATATCCTCCTTGAAAACTGGGAGAGGCTTCGTCAACTGGAACTTAACCCTTTCCCGGGGTGAATCTTGATCCATATTAGGGCCACTCTCAGATAAACGGTCCTGACCTTCCTGGCGCTTGATGCAGATGTTGAATGCCTTGGCCAACTTTCGTGGGCCACAGGGCTGGCTGATAAATTCGACAATAGTCTCGTGATTTGATTGGTCTGCTGCAATGAACATGAGATGTGCTGCCTCCGGCGACCGACAAATCACCACAACCGGGGATCTTCGATTCTCGACATTACTATGGGAAGAATTCTGGGTTTTCGATAACCACGATTCCCAAGTGTTGACTGAATCGGTATCTGTCTGCACCACAACGTAAAAATCGCATGAGGGGAAGGAAGCGTCCAATGGATTCAGGATATGGACATCCATCTCGAACCAGTTCTTGCATAATTTCTCCAAAGAAGTACAGAGAATTATATCACGATCGGATATGTCAGGTGATCCTAGCTCTAAGAGTCCTAGGGTCGCGCCACGTGTAATGTGTTTCATTTTCAAAATGGGCTCTGGTTCAGAGGGGCTGGCATTGGCTTTTTGAGCGGGCACGTGGGTAAGAGGAACTTCAATCGAGACTTCAGTGCCACGACCCCGGAGTGAAGTGACTTCGATATGACCACCCATGGACAGAACCGCATGGTGAACGATGCTTAACCCAAGTCCATTTCCAGGTGTAAGCGAGTCTTCTTGCGTGAATGGAGTGAATAAACTACTCTGAAGATACTCCATGCTCATCCCGATACCTGTGTCCTTAACTCTGAGGGTCACCTTAAAATCAGAAGGTCCTCCGGGCACAGCGTCTTTAGCAGGAGTGACAGGAGTGACAGGCGATGCCGTTAACTCCACTAAGATAAAGCCGGTTTTAGTGTACTTAAGGGCGTTGCCGAAAATGTTCATCATGATGCGGCGCCAGGCGCCTATTTGGGTAGAGAATCTCCACTCGGCACCTTCGTCGATATCCAGAATGATGCTGACTTGACTTGCTTGCTGGAAAGGCCCTAATACGTCGAGTGCCATGTGGTTCGGACGGTCTATCGTCATTGATCTTTGTGGGCTGTGGTAGAAACTGTAGCCTGCGAAGACACTTTCCATTACCTCTTCCAGAACAGCATCCAGCTGGATATCAGACTTCAGACTAATCATCCCAGTATGCCGTGACCTTCGTGATGGTTTCAGGCTATGAGGTGATGGGTCCGTATTCTTGTGTCGTTTTGAAGGGATTTTCCGTTTATGGGGAGCTTTGTTGCCTCCTTCCTTCCGGAAATTGTTTATCTTTGAAAAGTCCAGCAGATGGTTGATCGTATCTAACAATGTCCGCCCACATGACTCAATAGTGTGTACCAATCCGTGCTGCAGCGCATTCATCGCCGTGTCCCGAAGTATTTCTGATGTGCCAAGAATTCCATGGAGAGGACTTCGTAACTCGTGCGAGATGCTGCTGACTAGATTTGTTTTCGCCTTTTCTGACATCTCGACATCCAGACGATGTACCTCCGCCATGATACTATTTCCGAAGGCCGCCAGATACGTGAGTTCAGTCTCGGACGTGAAGACCCGTCGAGGGGTGTTCGTCCAGACTAGAGCGCCTGAGAACCACCGAGCTCGGTGGGAATCCCACAGCGGCAGAAGAGCAATGCTGCGAGCTCCCGGGAAGAGTCGAATGAGGGTATTTCCGTCCTCTTTAAGCGTGGCACCGCGTGTCCTTTTCCGGTTTCCTCTCCCTCGTCTACCAATGAGGTCGGCGTTGATCGAGTTTGAACTCTCACGGTCTAACGAGCTTTTCCAGGGTCCATCACTGCTTTCGTCCGAGGACATCGATCCCTCCTCGCTGAAATTAAAAATCTTGCCGTGTGGGTAACGCCGCAGGAGCGTCTTTAACAATACTTCCCGGAGGGCAAGTCTTCCTTTCGATTCATCGTTGATACTGGATGTAGTCGAAGTCGAGAAACCCAGGATTTCACATACGGTTGTGTTCTCTGGAACTGTCTCCTTCCCGGCTGATGCTGTGGAGCTTTTCTGGGAATCAGATCCGGTGCTATCATCGCTGCTGCCCATGGAGCTTTCTAAAGTACCGCTGTCTGAACCTGGTCCCTTCCGCTTCGTATCGCTGACGAGACCACCGTAAGACCCAATGCTTGCGTCGAAGAACGCGACACCTTCGACTTCTATCGACTCCCGAATGATGTTAGCTGCCCGCGAAAAGACTTGGCGAACTCCGATGGACAGCATGTCGTCTTGTAGATTTTCGGTCGATGCCGTGCTTCGGACGGAGAAACTCGTTTGGGTTTCGGCTTTATTAAGACTTGATGTCTGATCGATACTGGCGTCTGAGCTCTTGTCGGACGTTGATGATGAGGAAAATGGTGCTGGGGAGAAGCTCGGCGATGGTACACCCGATAAATCAGAGGATATGAATTGCTCGGAACTATTTCGTGAAGATAGTTGTGACTGCAGCGGCGGGGATGAGGGGCGAGTGTGGACAGTCGTGAGGAGGCCGGATTTGATTTGTGCATTTTGCTGCAGTATATTCAGATGACCTTCGTCATGTTCCTGTTCGTTTAGGCGTAGCCCAGTGTCTTGTACCCACTCCCTGCGGAGGGTCGCCTTGCCTTCCACAAAACTTCCGAATCCCACAATCATTCTCTCTGCGCGTTGATGTTCCGCTTTGAGTCGGGCCATGTCCAAGTGGGTCATGACGGTCGATGCCATATTCTGCAGGAACTTTATCAATGGGGGGTCTAATCCGGATCGTGGCTCGTCATCGATAATGCAGTAGGACCCGATGGTGATCCCTTTGGAACTGATTATGGGGGCGCCTGCATAGAACCTCGCTTTGGGAGAGCCAGTGACCATGTTCAATTTGTTAAACCGATCATCTTCGCGCAGATCAGGTACCATGTAGATACCCTCCTTAGTCACATGTTTGTCGTCCTCTGGTTTGATTTGCGGCAGGGAAGCGACTCGTTGACATATCCCTTTCTCCTTGGGGACAACGCAGCAACCCAACCATAAGGCATCTCGATCATTCTCCACTGTGTGATCTTGAAGACTGAGTGTTTGGGTGGCCTCTGCAAGGATATAATGTTGGTCCCGACCGAAGAGCGAAATCAAGGCACGTTGAGCCTTCAACCTCAAAACTCCTAACTGGGCGAAGGCCGTCAAAGCTGTATCTGGCGACGATCGGGGAATGTAGGCAGTATGTTGATTCTGCGCATTCTCGGGCGTGTCGAGGACGCTTGGGCCGGATTGGAAAACTTCGTTGAGTTTAAGATATCTTTATATCGTAAGATTTCAGCTTGCATTTCGGTAGTGGGAATGACGGGGATAGTGGGATAGTGGAACCCTGTCCACATACTTGTATAGTTCCCTCTCTTGCGCTAATTTGAACTTCGGTGGTTCGGCTTGGGGCTCTGACGATGACATGAGATGTATGTAGTGAATTTCTTTCCGATGATAATCACCAGACTCAGTTGTTAGAGAGCAGAGAGACAGTGATACCTAAATTTTGGATCTGGGAATCTTGGAAGTGGGCCTTGTATTACATAAGATCCATACCCAAATAACTAGTCGATTGGCACACGGGTAGAGACATAAATATGAATGGGCCGATCCGTCAATCATATTGCATGATTCCCACGATCTGGACTTTCTGACATTTTGTGGAGTCCACCGCCTGACTCCCGTGCACGTGACTTTTGACTACGTTAAAAGTATATGACAGAAATCCGGCGATATGAATAGTATGATCAAATTCAGTACTATGAAGTGCTCTAACTATTAAAACATGATAAACACACGAAGAGAAACAGACCAAATGACTAATCAATAAATGCACTTTTTTGTGTTTTCTGGACCCTCAGTCCGTGGATATTCCGGGTAATTTACCCTGTAGCTAGACAAGTGTTGGGATTTGTATTTGACATTATACCAATTCTACCTGTTGTAGAATGAGATAATCTATATGGCTTCTAATCAATGCCAATCACCTGTCTTCATCATTGTTGCATCATCTTCACCCGCGTCACTGGACCTTGATAGACTTTTCGAGCATAAATCACATAATAACCGAGTGAAAGGACAACAACACCCCCAAAGATAACCACACTCCAATTCATGGTAGTGGGATCTACCTCCTTGGTCAGGGGGAAGAAACTAAAGACCCAAATCACCACCAAAACCATGATAGAAATGGTGTCACAGATGGGGGTAAACTTGCCCATGCTCCAACGTGCAGGTGGTAGGGGCTGATTGCGCCAGCGTCGGAGACGAACACAGGTAATGGAAATAATATAGGAGGAGAGAAGGGCGGCTGTACCAAGGGACATAATGGCGTTGAAAGCCACAGAAGACCCAATGTTGATCAGGGAGAGGAGAGAGACAATAATGAGACTGACGCAAAGGGCATTTAGTGGAACGGTGAAGGTCGGGTTAACCTGTTATTTTAGTTAAAGCAGTAGATGGGGGTGTGTTGACGAACTCACCTTTGCCAAGAAATCGGAAAAAGGAAGACCCTTGTCTCGGGCAAAAGAGTAGATTTGACGGGAGGTTGTGGCAACATTACTGATTGCTGCGCAAAATTGCATGATCATAATCACCACTGTCATGCCTGTCGTGGCGCTGACCGATCCCGTAGCATTGAGAAAGACCTGAATGAAGGGGAAGCCTGTTTCCGACCCGAGCACTTCATCAACGTCGCCCACGCAGAACGCAAACGTGACTATCATGACAAATCCAGTAGACCCATTGAGAATCAGTGTCCAAAGCATGCCCATGGGGAGCACCCGGGATGCATCTCGGATTTCCTCCGCTGCATTACGGTATTAGTCATTTTCCCTACATGGATTGGGAAATAACAGGATCCATACCCATATGAACCGCTGAGTCGGGGCCTTTTCGAGATATATCGTTAGCAAAGACCAAAATAGGATCCACCAACTCGGGGACATACCAATCAATGCATATATGGGTCCAACCAGCCCTGCCATGCACGAGAGTCCATTGTTACCCCATCCCCCCCCGGTCCTCGATCGAACCAAATACCTCGGAAGCAGGAACCTTAGGGGACAACACCCAAAGTGGGATCAAAATTCCAAAGAAACCGAAGCAGTGAACAATCAAGATAATACCTTCGATCAAGGGGAGCTTCTGGGCCAGGAATGTGTTAAACATCAAGGCTACCAGGGCCACCGCAATGACGAGCAGTGTGACGTGCCATGGCTCATAGGTATACGTATCAGGGTAGTTTATGGAAATCACACCAACCATCATGTTAGCCACTGTATAGCAGCATCCTGCGATACCGGTATGCCACCCCAACACACAAATCCAGCCAGTTATGTAACTTAACAGGGCCTGTGAACTGGGGGTGTGCGAATTCTGACACCCAATGATACTGGCCGCCGGACAATGGGGCCCTGGAAATATCGGAGAGAAGGGTTAGCGGTCTCAGATTGCCAAGAATCGTCCAAGACATCCGAACTATACATACATAGATGCCATCTCAGCCATCGAGAGGATCACAAAGCTGAACCCTACCAGACCTCCCACGTAAGTATAGATCATACCTCCTTTCCCACCATTAGTCAATCCATAAGATGAACCACTAAATAGGTCAGCACATGATCCATCGTAATATAATGAAGTTTTTTCTCTCTTAGTAAATATATCGATGGGTATACTGAGAAAGACTTACAAGAGAACTGCTTCCCATGTGCACATCAGCACCGCCGTAAACCCAAGAACGGAAAGAAACCGGAAGTTTCTCTGCAAAGCGTGTCATTTTTTGCTTTCTTTCCTTTCTAGCTTTCGTGATTTGGAAAGGGAGACCCAGAAATATTGAGCAGAGTTGCGTACGTTTAGTTCCTGATCTCGCCCAGCACGCCACATGTCTTGTTTGTCCTGCGCCGTACCTGCCCTCTTGGAGGAGGCACCATCCATAGAGGGCGTCTTCTCCGGCGTGGAGTGTTGAACGTTCAACATGATTCCGTCCTCACGCCCCATTGTGAATAGTGATTACTTCAATTCCAGTGATCGGGCTGGTGGATAACAAGGTCTGAAGGAGAAACCAGTAAAGGAGAGAAAATGAAAGAGTAGCCATGAAGTAGATACGGCACGGCGCTAGGGCAAGAATGTAGCCGTGCTTTTGAGTAAGAAAAATTACAAAGTAGCCGGAGGGGCAGATATCACCCTGCACATCGAAAAATCAGGATAGTAATAATATTTCATATATCTTACGAACCCTGGTCAGCAAGCAGAGGTTATGGTTGGCAGTGGCTGAAGTACGATGCATTAGCGCACCACCACTAACACGCAAAACCTGCATATCCCGTCCCGACTCTAGGTACTAAGTACTTTTCCCATTATGTACACTAGCCTCTTTTTCGCATGATTAATTACAAGTGACACAGCAAATACTGTAGCACTCTTGGACAGACCCTTTTTTAGACCACCTATCGCAAAATGAAGAGCAAGTTTATATCATCTTACTTTCTCGGCATTCTTGCTTGAGTGGGTGCTTTTTATAAAAGAAAAGATTCAATTTAATCCACAACAGTCAGACGTTTCATCAGGAGACCAGGGGGCTGTTGAAAAGTCGAATTTTTGACTGGCAGAATATGAGTAATCGAAGGGGTGTTAAAAACCATTGCTGCGTGTTTAAGGAGAAATGACCTGACTTTCGGACTTGGGTTTTAACGGGTGAAGTCTGCCTTTAGCTGTTCCACCGTACTCTGGCCCCATTCAGGATCACAATCCCAGGTCGACCATTTATTGTAATCATCCGATTGGATGTTATATTGATTCGCAATTCCTCCAAGATTAGCTCGTCTTACACGTCCATGAACGGTCTCGGCTAAACAATTCGGGAGATCCCCCACGATTCGCCACTACATTCCATCTAGAGCTTGTATTATTCATATATAAGAAGTTTAATTTATCTATGCGGCCAAGCCTAAGCTCATTTTTTCACCCCAGCTTGGTTCCGGGAGGAATATACAATCTTACCATTCTGTGCTGGGTACATGCTTAGTTTAGGTCTTCGATACTGGCTTTTGCTGGTAGATCAAGCAAGTGCTTATTATCTCAATTTAACCAATAGTTAGCTAGTTACTTAACATCAGGCCTTTTTATTGAGGCTGACGGGTAAGAGAGAGGTTCATGTAATTGATTGGTCGATCAGCTGAAACAAATTTAATCTGTTATTATCAGCATATAAAAAAATAGTATGCATGGCCTACATACGTACATCGTACACCAACCTCGGGAATTAACGGAGTATGTTCAAACAACACAAGCACGGTATACAAAAGTCCAACAGGATCCCTGTCGTTCATTTAATCCTACGATTCATTCAACCTCCGTAAATATGGCCCCAGTATTCCTCAAAAGTTGTAACCATGATCTATCGCGAAATCTCTACTTTTCGGTCCCCGTCACAGCACACCTATCTCGACCCCCCTCATGGAGTCCGTTTCCCCCTATGCAGTCTCCTCGACGAATCGAAGTGGCTTGATTGTCATCGTTGAAACACTCTTTATGACATGGATGATCATAGTGAGTTTGATTCGACTGTACATGCGACTCGCGATCAATGGACCAGTCAAGATTGATGATGTGGTAGTGTTTACTGGAAGTGTAAGTCTCTATTTGTTATTTTATTCTTTTGCCCAATCTTTCCTTTCTTCTCTAGTCATATCACCCCCTGAATTTGCAATATTGATCGGGTTCTACTTTCTAGGTAATGGCCATCGCCCACGTAGGAGCGGTAATGGATGCGATTTCCCATGGTCTAGGCCGATCAGAGGACGAAAGCTCGCTGTCGAACTTGATACGCGCTGGAAAGGTTAACTCTCCCAAACCCCAGACTCGGCCTTCGAAGTTACTCGAAAGAAAAAGAAGGAAAGGAAACTGACGGATGTCAGCTTAGGGGGTCTATGCAGCGAACCTTTTATTCCTGGCTGGGCACGGCGCGGCCAAGATTTCCGTATGTTTGCTTCTCAAGCAACTGGGCCGACAGAAAAGCTACTTGTTCTGTTCCAAGATTCTTTTTGGAATGGTGACGGCGTGGACGCTTGCTTCGATTCTTGCAATTGCCCTCTGTTGCTTCCCACAATACCAAATTTCGATGGCCCAACAATGTAGCAATACTGTGCGTTATACTGAATCATATGAAGCGATACAACTGACAAGCGAGAGTAGGGTACTGCCTGGAAAATTATCACTGCGTTTGATGTGGTTACAGAAATCCTTACCTTTGGATTGTGTATTTTTCTGGTATGGGGGATTCAAATGCGGTGGAAGCAAAAGTGGACTGTGGTTTTTGCATTTGGGACGAGGACCCCGTGAGTGTCTGATATCTCAATGAAGAAGGTAAGGAAGAAAACCTACAGTAACTAATCATTTTTCTGTGATATTTAGGGTTATCATCTTAATTATACTACGTCAAATCTATCTTAACCGCTCGCTTTTCCATCCCGACGCGCCTCTGCACCTATCGGATGCAATGATCGTTACCGCCCTTCTCCTTCACTGCAGCATTATGGTATCTACTGTGCCATGTCTGAAGCCATTTGTTATTGTATTCAACACAGGATGGGGCCAGGGCGTCACGAATCGCCACGGCCAAAATTCGTATTTCACACCCACTGGAAAGGGCGCATCAACCAACCAGTCTTACGTCTACTCAACAAGCCGTGATAAAGAGGACGAGGTTGATCTGACTCTGGCTAGTTCTCGGCAGTCACAGGATAGCCAACGTCTGATTATTCACCAGACACGGGAATGGCGGGTGGAGGAGGAAGATTTTGAGATGCACTCTCTACAAGATAAAAATTGAGTTACCTATACTACTATACCGTTGATTGCTTCTTGGGCAAGACTCACTGAATTATATTCATACAAAATACCATGTGTCATTTGCAGGGAATCATATTCCAGTATTCTGTTCAAGCCCTCGCGGTGGAATACAGTACGGACACCATGCATTCATGGGATCAGTTCATCGATGCAGATAAGAATGGGATATTATATCAATGCAGAAGGTTCAGCTCAGAATCTCTAGTTATCTTTAATCTTCAACCATTCCATTTGCTTGGCATAGAAACCGTTCCTACCGCAACACGTTAATCGTCAAGCCGCCAACGGGTGCATCAACTGGTGAATCAATGTTGCCTAACTTTGCCGCCAGCGATTGGAAGATATGAAGGTTCATTACTGGTGTGCTTTTTGGAGACCTGCCGGCAGAATTAAAACACGAATTGCGCTCTAGAACGCTCGGGGACAATTGACATTCCGTGTGGGAATTCTGTTGCACTATCATATTTTAGACCTTGGGTGGGTTATCTCAATCGTGCTGTGCGCTCTGGTTCTGACGATCCTCCAATATAATTTACAGTCGCTGCAATCAGAAAAGGCTGTGCGAATGTAAAGCAACTGTAGGTCAGACGTGGGGGGATCGCGGAGACAAAAGCCCATCTGTATGCATGAAACACAGCTTTGACCAAGCGATAATGACCATTTGTGTTTGCAGCATCTGCATTCAAGGACGCTTGCTTATCTCCGTAGGATACAACGCTAAATATTTATATCAAGATTTATAGCTACATCTGGGCTTGACTCAGAGCAACCACAATAATTGCCTATTTAGGAAATATCAATTGCTGAACTCCGAAGATGCATAGTATCTTCATTCCGAGTAAATACTTGTATCAATGTATTGATTTTGCTTCATGTCTCCTAGGTCTGTGCCTTATTAACCAGTCGCTGGCTAGCGGTTATGTGCGTCACTTTATTTTCTCTGAGATATTATATCTCTATGTGAAATTGAGAAGTCACAAGTTTGATTGTGTTAGAGAACTTGGCAATATGGGTATCCACGGCCTTCTTTCATATAAAGCTACGTACATAATGCTCAAGCCGTTCGAGAAAGGGCACACATTATATATAGGATTATTCTCACACGAATTTCGCCTGAGTAGCAATCTGTTGAAGTAAAAGAGAATGGTTGTTTTAATTTAAGTCAAGTGAAGTTTAACAATGGGTCCTGCTTCCAGTGGATATTGTCAAACCACGCCATAAAATCGAAATTACCGTCCAAATCACAACCATCGAGCCAATTTGTAGACATGTCAATATCTGGAGTCAACGGAGCCGGCTGGGGAAATTCAGGGGGAAGAATTTGATCAAGCACGCGACGAATAATTCTCGTCCCTTGTTGGACAATCTCATAATTGCCGTCGTGAGGTCGCACCAGGAAATCCAGATGAGAGGCAAAAATATTGAGCTTTTGGATGGTAATTGAGCGAGCTTTGGCAGATAACGGCGTTGATGGGTTCGATATCTGAGAACTATGGTCCGAGAGCAATTTAGAAGTCAGGGTGCCTGCAGCAGGAAGGCCCATGTAGCATAACTAGAAGAGGATGAGCTTGTGAGAGGGGCCCCTTGACAGTATTAAGGGCCAGAACAGTCTTACATCCCATAACATATTTGCCACCGAGTAGCCAGACCGAGTCCGCAAGGCAATAGAGTCTAATAGCGTGGTTAATATTTCCAGGGAGCTTTGTATAAGACCTTGTGAGTGTATTCCAAGGCGCTTTAGCAAGATCCGACGCAGCAGAAACTCTTGGTACGTAAATTCCATGTGAGCAAAGGTGCGGCCCTCGTCTCGTGGAAAGCTGTAAGCACCCGCTGCAGCTTTCTCTGGTGACCAGTGCATAAATGAGGGGAGGTCTTGTTGCGTCTGACGGGATTCCTGGATCAACTCTCTGTGCGGTTCCTTTCGGTCAGTACTCTATATCAACATAATATGAAGTCTATAATGAGATACGAACTCAACCCTGGCTGAAATATGCTGAGTGCTAGGACTCAAAGATAATTCCAGGATACTTTCTCGCAGCAAGCTGATCAGTAGCACGACGCGAAGCCTGACGCCAACGGTCAGTCTTCCTTCCGTGTTCCAACCATTTGCATCGAGATTCTGCAGTGACTTCTCTCCTTCGGTGCATGAGAGGACCATCTTCTCATAACCTATATCCAGCGGAAGTGGGATGCTACAGTATCGAGAGCATATTCGTGGGGGACGCCCCAAAGAGGTCGCTAGCTCCTTGTCCATTGCGTATGCGCACACCATAACTCGCTTTCGTACCTCCACCAAGAAGAACGGAAGGTTCTCTTCGGTGTCTTTACCAGATTGGTGCAAGCCAAATGCGTAAACAATGGTAGATAGATCTCCGAGCTTTTGCCAGACCCTATAGTCTATCTGACTATCAGCCATTTTCTCTCTTTTCCAGTAGGTAATATTAGGTGGTGATTACCGCTATCGCCAAACATTAAAGTCAAGAGAACTATTTGCTGGGCCGTGAGCCAGCAAAATGGATCGCTAGTCATTCCAGCGCTATTGCAAAATTGGCAGCAAATATCACTAATGGCGGTAGCGACATTTCTGAGCTGGCTCTTTTCCAGCTTCCACGGGTTGCGATGTGTGAAGACCGGGTCATCATCGGGTGTATGGAATAATGAGGTCCCCAGCAGGGCGAAGATAAGTCCAATTGTCTCCCACCTCGGCGTTATTGAATCAAAATACTCGGAGAAATTCATTGTTGGATGTGTCTGGATATCTTTGGATGTGTTGACGAATATTTGATGAGATAAAATCGCTAGTGATGCATGGGTATCCTGGGAGTTGCGGACTGCACCATCATACATTTTCTCCATAGAATCACACAAGGCGCGAGTCAAGGGAGCACCTAGAACCCATCCTGGGGATACCTTGTTCTTTAACTCGATGACCTCATGGAACCAGCGGATCTTCTTGAGATGTGATAGAATCTGAGCCCCTAGCAACACCTGATTGGAGTCACTCGGTGAATGCGCAGTTGCTGGTACTGTCATTTCTGGTAGACTACCTGGGTCCTCGACACACAGGGTATTTTCATACTCACTGAAGATGTCTCTGGGGGAGACCAGCCCTAAAAGCCCCGGTGGCAGAGCCCGCTTCTTCTTTGCAGTCCATCGCGCTATATGCTGGTCGTATAACGTACTTCCCTCATCTATGACCAGTGGTAAATCTGGCGGTGGACCTGATGTGGCTGTTCTCGAGATCCTCTGATCCAAACGAAAAACCGACTGATTGTCCGGGCGTTGTTGCCTCTTGGGTCTCCGCGATATCACCCTGGAGGTACGCGCGCGGGCCTGAGTTAGTGGAGCAGGATGGTAGAAGCAGCGTTCGGCCTGGTCGTGACCGAGACATCGACCACAGATGGGGGTTTGGTGGTCGCATCGTAGTTTGGACTTTCGGCAAGGCTCGCACGATGACAGCTGTCCATTGCGACGAGGTGCTGCCATTTTCATCGAATTTTTGAAAAAGAGAAGGCTAAATTTTTCCAAGTGGTTTTGGTAAGAAACAATCAAGACATTAAGGGTTCAAGCTTGGAAGTGGTAAATGCTTGGAATCAATATATAGAGGGCCTGGGTGTCGGACCTCGGCGCCGGACCTTAAATTCCCTATTTGGGTAATTCCAGCTGGAACTCCGAATGAACTAACAGCACTAGTGTTAGCGGTCATGGATGTGGCCTTCGATAAGCCGCACTGCAACCTTTAAAATTTGTATTGGTGTAGATTTAAGCAAATTTATTTAATCAAAAAAACCTTTATTCCTTCTATATGCCAATTCCGAAGCAACAAATCAAATTCACCTGGAGGTGAGATCAAAAATATATTGCTGATGCTTCTTCTGTGTGTCAAGTACGGGAATGCTAGGCTCTAGACTATTGGTGGTTGATCGTCAGTCCCCGCCCAATTCGTTCGACATAGCTGGTAGCAAAGATAAGAAAGATAAATTCCATCAGCTATGCGATGGAATAGATGGCCAGGCTAGAGTGAGTTGGAGTTTTCTAGGGCTGTTTGGCTACATCCGTGCGGAGTACACAACAACATACTTATATAACACAAGCTCAAAGAATTCCACCGAGATGCGTTGGTGTCTAATACTGGTTCTCGGGCTCCCGCATCTATTAGTTGCCACTAACCTCTGATTTGGACACTCCGAACAACGCAAACTACATGAAAAGGATCCGCTACGGATCCCGTGCTGAGGTTCGCCATAGGCTGGAATGTTGTGTATGGATGCTTGATCAAGGTTATTCACTTCGGGTCAATCCATTTATATAAGCTGCATTCTCAAGGTAAACTCTCAAGGCAAACGCGTTTATTCGAATACAACTGCCAGCTTGCCTTTGGTGCCCATGAATCTGACCATTTTTCGATGTTCGAAGATTAGACGGGTTGAGACTTGCGTTTCGACTTTGACCTTTGACTCCATGTCTAATGGGTTTAGCTCCTGCTCATGTAGCTAGATTATTCCCAACCTTTCATCCAATTGGTAAGATGGCCGAGTTGGTCTAAGGCGCCAGGTTAAGGTATACCTTGACTCTACAACTAGCAATAGTTTCCTGGTCTCGCAAGAGGCGTGGGTTCGAATCCCACTCTTATCATAACTTTTTGTTTTTGCTTATTCCACCTTGGTACATATATGGTTAACTATTTAAGGCTTTTATTAGCTTAGTTGGCTATTTTTTTAATGTTTTGAAGGAAATCGGTGGTAGAAACTTTTAAAGTTATGCGTTTTGCAGATCTTGAGTATCAACTTGCATGTGGTCACAAATGATATTTTGGGTGTTTGATCTTTCTATAAAAACTACCAAACAGGGCTTATATCTATCTATTCTTAACTAACCCATGACTATGACTGACCAATAGACTAGAACAAAAAGAAGAAAGCCAGGTGAATCTAATCGGTTCCCAGCTATAATTTGTTTATGCAAAATGCATAAAAAATATGATAAGAGTGGGATTTGAACCCACGCCTCTTGCGAGACACGGAGACAGTTGTATACCATCGGGATCAGGTTAACCTGAACCGTGCGCCTTAGACCAACTCGGCCATCTTACCAATTGATGGTAGAGAGTTTAGATTGTGGTTATATAAAGGAAAAATTAGTTAACTTTTCCATAATACAGTGGGGTTTAATAAGTCCTTACCCACCCGCATTTTCTACACCTCTCTTCCAAATATATATATCTTACATATCTATGCATAGGACCACTATACCTTGCTCAATTTACCTATAAAAAAATAGGTTTAAACACCATACTGATTTGGTGTAAAATTCAAAATTCAATATTTTGTATAATACCCCCCAGCACCCTGTATAGCATGACATCTCCGCCCCATACTTAAAATCAATGCATCTATCTTTACTTGCGGAATTGCATCCCAAGCAATTTTTATACACCTTTTAAAGACCTTCCAATCCTCCTCCGACCTTCCCACATATATAGCCTTAGGGAATAACTGAAAAGGTTTCACCTTTAGCCACCTCCATACAGGTTCAATTAGGTTTAAATCCGGCCTACCATCTACCTTAGGAGTGTTGGATATGCCTGTAGCGTGCACCCATCCAACACATGTTAGGTCATTGATGCTTCAACATAGCATAGGCTAGGGTGATTTATTCAATTTATGGTGTCTGCATCATTTAGCATCTGTTACGTGCCAGTTCAATCAACGAAGAAAGAGTGCATTCCTACTAGAATATCAAAGATATAGAGGGAAGGAAGAAGTAAGTGGTAAATCCCGGGGGATCTTATAGCAGAGCTATCCCACAAAAGCAAACAACATCTTTCTTAGGTAGGCTTAGTAACAAAGGAGGAAGCAAATACCAAACAATCTGGGAGGAGCATGTGATAGCATGTGACACGAGAAGTATGCGATAATAGATCGTGACAGCATCTTCGGTGCCTATAGTTTAAGGTCCAGTGAGTACTTGCTCGTATTGAGCTGTGCACTCTAACTTCATCGGCCTTTTCGGTACCCTCTCCCTCTCCCAGTAATTTATGTGTATCCTATTTATACTACATTTCACCTTTTCAATTTTAGTTATAGTAAAGCAGATATGGATGGCTGCGCAGCTAGGACCCGATATTGATTTACACGACTTTACTTGCGCAAACGATGTCTGCCCCTCTCCCGTTGTCTATCGCATTCCCCTTATACCCAACTATAAGAATATCCATGAGGACCAGGCTTCCAGACATTGAGCCTGTGCTAAAATAACCTTGTATCCCATTTTACTTTTCATTATTCACATACATTTCTCTTCGCTTCCTTTTGCTTGCTTCGGGGTCCCAGGGCACAGCCTCGGCTCCTTGTATCACATATGAGATACCTCCACGGCTAACTTTAATTCATCCAGCGACTACCCTAGACCCGGGCGAATCCGCCTCGAATAACTACACTGTCCCCGTAATTTAACATGTGAACTAACACATATTCTATAGACCTACTCCCAGTGGCTTATTACTGATGTCGATCTACCTAGCCCCACCTGTGCCACTAACATCAGAACTTGGTCGCGAGATCGAGACCAAAGCACGTAGTATGCTCGGAATGGCCATCTACCCGTTAGTGGTACTGCGCAGGTTCCGTATCTTGTCGTCGCGTTCGGATGAGTATTGTCGGTGCACGTGCGATGCCCCCCTTTAGGCCCGGTGTTTAGGATCTAATTGATGGGAACAAATAGTGTCAGGGCGCTGTTAACGAGATGGTGCGAACGGTCCCTCTATGCTTAGTTCTTAGCCAAGCTACACTGGCATATTACTGTAGCCTGCTAGGGTAGTTGATGAGGGGATGCTTGTGACACATGTCTACCATACATAGAAAAGGAGTGATTAGATGGGATCCGAGGTATGCTACTATCTATGTGTTATTGGTGGGGCCGATCATCGTTCACTGAACCAGGGTGGTGCACAACGGCCGTGCAATGTTGAACAAATAATGCTATACTTCTTTGTTCAGTTATATATATGTTAATCAATCGACAGTCCTACGGTAAATATATATGGAACACACCCCACCTACTACCCATAACTAGGGGATAATTATCATACTTAGATAATCAGACAATAATTAATAACAATACTGACTCATATCACTAACAAGTTAATAAGTACGATGAATAGCAGCATGATATGGTTTACTAAATGCCCAAACGAAAGCCCTGATATAGTGTTTTCATTAATAAATTCATAATCTAAACCATTTTCCATCAATTGGTAAGATGGCCGAGTTGGTCTAAGGCGCACGGTTCAGGTTAACCTGATCCCGATGGTATACAACTGTCTCCGTGTCTCGCAAGAGGCGTGGGTTCAAATCCCACTCTTATCATATCTTTTTTGTTTTTTATTGTATTGCACAGTTCTATCCGTTGTCTCATAATAATAATAATGGGATTGGCGGAGGCCGTGGTGATTCGTGGCAATTATTTTGTCGGACGTGTCGTGCAGTGTAAACGCAACAACCATTTCACCCAATGTAAGTTGGATGTTGGATGCTGAAAGCACTCTTCGAAAATTATGTGTAAAAGCATGACCATAGAAAGAAGGTAAGAGGGGAAAGCGAAAAACCAGTGTATAAAGAATAAAATAGCTAGGTGAATATGAGCATATTTATAATCTAGTCGCACTGCGAGGAAGACGCGAGGAAGAAAACTACATAGAACAAGAGACCACTAGATCGGACGAATGAGCCTACAAGCAGAGAGGCACCTCCTCCAAGCCACGAATGACCCAAGATGATAACACACCAGAAATCAACCAGAATGTTTAGTATACTACAGTCCCCGGACTGGTTCTATGTACAGTTTCTGAACCGAGAGCCCGAGAAGAATTGCCAAAGGCTAGAGTAATAACGTGATGGGAAACAAGAATGGATAAGAATAAGTGTTGGAGCCACTACAGCTTAGCCCTGGGAGCAGACATCTCCTCGGTGGCCTGCTCATAGAGCTGATCCAAAAGGGAACGGTATATCTTGACAACGGGGGGACGCTTGAGCTTGAGACTGTGGAAGGGAGAAAATAACGTTAGCAATGCCGGAATTATGGAATTGTAAATAAAACTTACGTCGGGGTCAACAAGTTGTTCTCAACGGTGAACGGCTCCACCTTGAGAGAGACGTTGCGGATTCTCTCGTAGCCAGCGAACTTGTGCTTCTTAGCCACGCGCTCGAGGTCAGCAAGCACAGCACGGCGGAGCTTGTCATCGCCCAGAGATTCCTTGACTGCTTCCGCGGTCGGGGCAATGGTCTTGCCCAGAACCTTGCTGGCATATGGAGCGAAAAGGTCAGGCGCGACACCAAGAATGCCAACTAGGAAGGTCTGCATACTATCGCCGTGGACATAAGCCTGGGCAATGTAGCCGAGCTCGGCAAGGACGACACCCTCCAGACGCTCGGGGGAGATGTACTCGCCCTGGGCGAGCTTGAGCACGTTCTTGCGGCGGTCAATGATGATGAAGCGGCCTTTCTCGTCAATTGTGCATACATCGCCGGTGCGGAACCAGCCATCCTCGGTGACGGCATTGCGGGTCTCTTCCTCATTCTTGTAGTACTCGCGGAACATGTTGTTACCGCGCAGCAAGAGCTCACCACGGGGGAACGGCTTGTCGTCCACGGAGTACTCCATATCTGGCAGGGAGGCCAGGCAAGCCTCGACACAGGGTGCAAGACTACCACAATTGCCAGCGCTCAGATCGTATGTCGGCTGGGCGGTGGCTGAGGCGTAGGACTCGGTCAAACCGTAGCCCTGAAGGACATCAGTGCCGGTGGCGACACGGAGGAAGTTGTGTAGGGTTGGGTCCAAGGGCGCGGAACCAGACACCATACATCTGGCTCGCTCCAGACCAAGAGCGGCAGCCACCTTTTTAGCCCAGATGCGATCATACAAAGCGTGGTGGACTGTCGCCTTGGAGGGATCGGGATTCTTCAAGTTGGCAGTTTTGGTCGCAATGATGTGTCGCGACAGAGCGCCCTTGAAGCCAGGCTGCTCAACAGTCGCGGAACGGATTGCGCTACCGAATCGACTGTAGAGACGAGGAACGGACATGAAACCAGTGGGCTTCAGCAACTTCAAATCATCGACCAGCTCCGCGATGTTCCCGTGGAAATAACCAATCCGTGCACCACCCCAGAAAGCAGTGTGCTCTGCCAGACGGGCATAGATATGGGCCAGCGGCAGATATGAGGCTGTCGTATCGCCTCGGGCTTGGGCGATAGTGATCATACCAGCGGACGTGGCAGCCACGGCGTTGCCGTGGGTCAGAACGACACCCTTGGGGGGACCGGTCGTGCCTGAAGTGTAGTTGATAGTGACAATGTCCGAGGCAGAAGGAGCATTGTATCCGCGCTTCGAGGCCAAGCCCAGCTCCTCAACCTGATCCATAGTGTAGATCGCCAGGCCCTGATCGGCAGCCATGGACTCGAGAAGGGCACGCTTAGTGAGACTGTCCTGCTCACCTGCATCCAGCGGGTCCAAACTGATGATGATCTTCAGGTTCGGAAGAGAAGGCTTGAGCTTGATCAGAGTCGGGATGTGGGGTAGAGAGGTGACAACGCAGTGCAGCTCAGCATGATTGATAATATATTCGGTAGCGTCCGGGGCCAGGACATCGTAGATCGAGACGGAGTAAAGAGATTGGGAAACACAGGCCAAGTCTGTACATAGTATCGATTTAGCGTCTTGTATCTTGAGATCTTCGCTCTCGCGACCTCACTCACCAGTGATCTGCCACTCCGGTCGGTTCTGGGCCCAGAGACCGATACCATACTGGCCAGGGCGATGGCAATTGTGCTTATGGTGCAGCTCTACCAGACCAGCACCGAATGCGGCGCGTCTCTTCTGCACGGTCTCGTAACTGAGCCACTCGTATGGGTCGAAGGACTTGGTCGTGGAGTTATACGGACGCCATCCAAGGCAGTGGTTCTTGGGCTGGCGATTGGCGGTCGACTCAAACATATCATGGGCCGTGGTAACCTAAAATCGGTCAATATTATGGTATTGTCGCATTCGCGCGTGGGCCGCTGTACCTTGGGGTCCAGTGTCGTCAAAAGTTCCTTTTGCGCATTCCATGCTCGGTATACCCGACTCCGGCCGGGCTGTTCAGTGCCAGGAATGGCCACAGAGTAAGCTGCGCCCTTTGGGGGTGCTTGCTTGAGCTCTTCGGCCTTGACCAAATGGGGAGGTTGTGAGAAGAACATGTCTGTCGGGATACGGTCAGCGGGGGAAAATCAGAATAAACAATAGGCGGACGAACCAGAATTTAAACAAAAGAGCGAAAGAAAGAAAGGCCCGAACAATCACGTATTAAAGGGGGAAAAAAGTGTGGGGGAGAAAACTGGAGTCGAAACCGGAGCGACCGACGCTTTTCGGACACAAAAGACATGAGCCGACAGGGAACCTCGGCTCTTTCGGGGGGTACTTGCCACACAGTGGTACCTTCCATATTATCGTCAGGTACCTGCACTAGTGGATTTGCTTACATACACGTCACATTTGCACAACTCACATGCACTTTTCACATGGAAACCGAGTTAGGAATATACGTATATCAGTGTAAAGGCATTGAGAGTTTAATAAGATACATGTATATTGGAGTATATATGCGTTAAAAAAGATAACGCCCATAGAATATGCAAGAAAATAAATATATATATACAAGTGAGATCGGCAGTCTCTAATTACCCGCAAATCCACTTCCATGCCTTGCCATACCAGGTAGTTGGCTCAATAGTCTCCCATGTCTCGTTATCAGCGGTGGTACGGCCGGTATCCAGGTCGGCCTCGATGGGCTTGACAAAAGCGGGGCGGTAAATGATTTTGTGTCCCGCATACAACACCACGAACAAGATCAAGCTCAGGTAGTTGATGAAAAACTCCTTGACTTGGAAGTGCGGGATGAAGGCAGTGAATCCCTGGGTGAAGATGATCAGAATATTGAAAAACAGACCATACCACGAGAACCAGGGCTGCCAGAGGGCCTTGTAGGGCAAGATATCCCGAGAGATGTTGCGGGCCTTGAGTGCCCGTTGGAAAGCGAGATGACAAGCGTTCAGCGAACACCAGGTGATGAAACCAGCCACACCAGAGATCTGGAGCAACCAAGTGAACACCGTGCTACCTGCATCAGAGACGTTCAAGAATCCGAGCAGACCAAAGGCCGCCGTGAAGAGCACACTGTAGTAAGGGACACCACGCTTGGTGGTAATCTTGAACCAATGAGGAGCAAAACCTTCCTGGGCCAGACCGACTAGGATACGGCTCCCGCTGTAGACGTTGGAGTTGGCTGCCGAAAGCACCACGGTCAGAAGAACGGCGTTGATGATACCGGGGAGAGCCATGACACCGGCACGGTTGGCGGCAATGACAAAGGGCGAAGCGTTGGCATTCTGAGCAGAAGCACCATCTCCCTGGCTAGCCAACAGGCCAGGATCGGAAGAGGGCACGACAATTCCGAGGAAGAAGATCGTCAGGATGAAGAAGAAGACGATACGGAAAAAGGTTTTGCGAATTGCAGATGGGACAGTCTTGCGAGGGTTCTCGGTCTCACCGGCCGCAATACCAACCAGTTCGGTTCCCTGGTAGGAAAATCCGGCCTGAATAAGCGTCGACCAGAATCCAACGAATTTGGCCAACGAATTGTTCCCTTCGATCAAGTAGGGGACGAACGGACCGGGGTCCACCCAGTACCGGAAACCGATATACCCTTCCTTTCCGACGCCGGCATTCATGCAAATCGAGAAGATCATGAAGCCTATCACGGTAATAACCTTGATACTTGCGAACCAAAACTCGATTTCTCCATAGAAGGCCACGGGCATCATGTTGAAAACGATAATCACGACCCAGAAGACGGCGATGAAGATGGCGATCGGAATGCTGCTGTCCCAGAACTGGATAATCAACCCAGTTGCGGTCAACTCCAGCGCAAATGTTGATGCCCATGAAAACCAATAGATCCAACCCATAGCAAAGCCCAGACTAGGGTCAATCAGGCGGGCAGCGTATGAGGTGAAGGCACCGGGAATCGGAATATATGTTGCAATCTCTCCGAGAGCGGTCATGACCGAGTAGACGATCGTTCCGACGAAGATATAAGCGATAAGAGCGCCCACCGGGCCTCCGTGAGCAATGGCCGTTCCACTACCAATGAACAATCCGGTTCCTATTGTGCCGCCTTCGAAGACCGTTAGTCTGAAGATTCTGAAGATTCTCATACCATCCAACTAACCAATGGCAATCATCTGTAGATGTCTGCTCTTCAGCTTCCGCTTGAGATCCGGGAGAGGGTTTGCCTCGCGCTGGGCGCCATGCTTCTCGTAGTCGATATCATAGTCGACCGGGCTGTGCGCTTGGACTTGGACGGGAAGTTCAGTGCTCGTCTTTCCCTTAGACGGGCTGTTTGACTTGTCCGAAGCCATGTCTGCTGAAGGCAAGGCCGATTGGGAGCTTCAAGGTGGGAAGAGGAGAGAGAAAGGATTTGAGTGCAACACCAAAGTCTCCACTCGATTAAGCCCACTGGGGTCCGAAGACAGGCTTTTCCCCTCGAAGGTGGATACACACTGAACACTTGAGAAAATGTTATGTAAAAAAGAAGGGGAATTTTGAGGGGAAATAGATAGCTTTTATTGTAGATTCTATTTATTCTATATCTTTAGTCTCTTGGAAAATCAAATTTGCCCAATTTTCTCCCAATACCACCCGGGGTGGATTTGCCGGGAAAGAGTTTTTTCGCTGGTGGCGAGTCTCTTTGCCCCCAAATGTATATTTTATTTAGACATTTAATTGGATATTCTGTTTTCAAGGATACTTGATATGATTTATCTTAATATTTTATGAATTTATTGCAGTGAAGCCTGTCCGGGGGACGTAGACTACATATGGACGTAGCCATAGTATCTAAATTTGAATCCCATACAATATATCTACTTCTCCTATTACGCTTCTCAAGACTTTTTATGGCTGGGAACTAAGAAACTAAGGACGCATCTATGTTGTAGCCACATACTTGGCGGTCTTGGCGGAGTCTTGCCGTTTGCGGAGATAACTTGGAGTTAATAATAATAAGAATGACATTACGTCTGGCTTCTGAAAGAGATATACGTATTAAAATAATTCCATCGCTATCAAAGGGTATCGCATCCAAACTATGACAAAATTCAAAACATAACATCCAAAACAAATATTCCCAATAGCCTTGGATGTTTACAAACACTTCAAACCCCCAAATGCACATTCGAATGTGGTTTCGCTTCTCCACTGCGGTGGTTCATCAGATCGACAATACCGAAATAGCTGGTGACGGCAAATAACACCCTATATACCACACAAATCACAGTTAGAATACTCTGTCGAATACTGTCGCAATACCAAAGGGGACGGAATCTCACCATTCAAACGCCGCAAATACCGTTGCTGCCTGGAGCGAGCTGCATACACTCCCATGACACGCCCTCGGCGGAGGCAACATCGCTCCCTCCGCGATAAACCCAGCAAACCAGAAGATCATGGTAATCACTTCGACAGCAGGAATCACATAGTGATGCGCAAGACGAGGGAACCATACCGGTGAAATGGCGAGGTAGGGTACTGCTACAAAGGCAGTCCAGCAACCGAGGAAGAGGAGGAAGTTGACAGTATCCGAGTATGACCATCCATAATAGTATTCTGACACCACTAGAGATCTGTCAGTTTTCATCGGTTTTTCGAGAATTTGTTCTGAGATGACGGACCATATCCTGTCAAGCCGATCACGATCACGCCAAAGAGTGCCTGCACGATTCGGACGGGGTATATCCACGGGAGAGTCATTTTCGATATGGATGTAGGTGTAGATGTTGATGCCGATGTTGGTATGTATTGTGAAGGTGTGAATATCCAGGCAAAGTATGTAAAATTATCTGCAGGTTTGCGTCAGAAAGGACAATTTGTAGTGCCCAAGGTGTGGCATAGTATATAAAGGTGCAGGGGGTTGGCGCAGCCACTGGCGTCGCGCCAGCGTCATTAATATCTACAGACTTGGCTTTGACACTTTTGATAGGGCTGACGTAGGGGCATCTTTCGACATACCTTGAATACTTTGTAACCTTCCGACCTTTCCTGCTTTCTTGACTGGCTACTAATTACTGTTTGATTTATATATGCTCTCACCCACCTCCCCTTAACTTACTGCCTAAACACTATTTATACACTCTACTTTTCTTTGCTGCCTATGAAGTGTTCCTATAGTCTTGGCTAAATGCACGTGCAAGCCATATGACGCCGGGCTGCCGATCACTGTGAAACTTGATTATATACATTTGACATTCGGTTTAATTCCACTTGTCTATCCTATCCTAGAGATAAATGGAAATTCATATTTTAACAGTTTCGATTTTGTGTTGCGTACACTCCCGTACTTGATGAGACACATAGAGACGAAGACGAGTTTCTCGCATGTATGTATTCGTTCCTATTGTGGCTGTGGCCGTGGCTGTGTGAGACACAAAAGGCCGACCTGATACTCTGATCCTCAGACCTAGTAAGCAAGGAAAGTGGCTATGTATTTATAGCTCTGGAGGCCATGGGAGACTTGACAAAGAAGCGTCTATATCAAACATTGCTACACATGTCCAATATATGTCTAAAGAATAGACTCGCAGAACGAGCATGTAGATGTCATTTGTATCAATTCGTCGCTCATGCGCCTGTACAGATTTATGCAGCCCAATTACCTTCCCAGTCTTCATGATATGAACGTAGCAAATCAATAATCACGGAAAACAGCAACCATGTCATCTAATCGAGATACCTCCGCCAGCAGGAAGGCTTCCTTGGCCTTCCAATTGCGAAGATGCTCTAGTTCGGCCTCGGACAGGAATTCTTCCTCGTGGCCCTTGACGTCAGTTCGTTCAGTCTTTTCAAGGAAATCTCTCTCGCGGGTACGTTCAAATTTGATGCGCTGCAGGCACCGTGACATGGCTTTGTATGTATCCTCCAGAATGCTGCTGCACACGCGATCCGGATCGTAGTACCACAAATAGATTGTCTTGGAAGGTTGACGCTGCGCGTCACGCGGCACTTCCTGCAAATCTACAAACCCTCCAGTTTGCATGCTAGCAAGCGTCTGGCGTAGGTCTTTGAAGGGCAGGAGACTGATCTCCTGGAGTCGTTTCTCGTCAAGCTTGCCCTTGGCATGCAAGACGCGGATCACCCGTAGTGCCACATCTCCATACCGAGATTCAATCATGCGCTCCAGTTCTAAATGGCGAAGCTTGCGGGCCAGACCTCGGAATGCAACTCGCCACGTAGGGAGGCCGGAGATGACGTGCTTCGTGGTAAGATTCAAGGGGGGTTGTGAGAGAATACTAAGGTGCTGGTCGATCTCGTAGGCGCGGTTCTGCCCGCTCGGTTCGTCTTCATGCTCGTCACCATTCACGCCGTTTGTATCATCTTCCAATGGTCGCTTCCCCCGTCGGTTTAATACCGTTGAGGGCTCCATCGGGCCAATACATCCTGCAAGATCCAGATTTGGGTCAACGTCTTCGACGATTGAGCTCAGTTGGATTGGAGCAGAGTATTGTTCGCCTTCTTCTCCTTCGCGAGGGATCTCATAAGAGTCTCGGCAGCGGGCTGTTTGGTATTCAATTCGCCGAAGCAGACAATCGTAAACCTCAATTGAGGCGGAAGGCGCGTCTTGCTCAGCAAGCTCCAGGAACCGCGTGTTTCGAAGGGCCACGTCAAGTTTCTCGTAGTTCACTCGAATGATGAGATTAGACTGTGGTAGATGTCAGCGGTGTATTCGAAGTCGTAGGGAAAGACGAAACGAGCTTACATCCATTGGCATTGAATCAATTCCATCTTCATCTTCGGACCAATCGTTCTCCTCTTCTTCTTCCTCATCATCTACATGGCCTCCGTTGACACCATTGGTGCCATTCCGCACCCGCTGGTCGGACTCCTTGTTGCCATGGTCGCGTTTTCTTTTGGCGCCTTGGGGGAGGCCATTGTACATTAGACCCCGGCTCAGATCTCCTTCAGTTCTTTCTTTGACCATTTCCTTCGCCTTCTCCTCAATCTCCATCGCTTGCTGTTTGCCCTTCATTAGTTTGACATCTGGCCTTGATGAGATGATTCGGGAAGCATCTAGCCAGTTGTCATTTGGGCTCTGGAAGTGCGCCTCTCGAAGGCGATGGATATATCCGTGCGAGGCAAGACTCTTCAAGGTGGGGTGAAGACGCGCCGGTTTCTCGCTCACAACATGATCGCCGTTAGGGGCTGCGGAATCCTCTTCTTTTTCCTCGTCTCCCTCGGCCTTAATTTCATCGTGGTTGGCTCCATTCGAAATGCGTTGCTTGTTGGACTGAAGCTCAGGAAGCGTCTCGAGGTGGGCGATCGAGGAGTGACCGAGGCTCATGATTGTTTCTAACACCTGGGCCGCGTATTCTCCCAACCGGCTTTCAACAAGCTGGAGAATCTTTCCAGATCGCACGAGGGAGTAGGCAGCTTGTGGATTAGCTTCATAGTAGGTGTTGCCGTCGTCGAGGGAGGTGAAGTGATAGATCAAGTGGTGCTGGATCATGGCGGAGAGGCCATGATGCAGCTGGCGATCTGACAGGCGAGCATAGAATTTTAACCGAGGGAGAGTCAGTCTTTCGTAACGTTGAAGGACGGTAAAGATGCGCTGCGAAAAGTTGACTAGTTAGCCTGGTTCCTTCCCCGCTGTCGCAAGGAATCATGACAGCCCCAGAATCTACACAATATGACTCACAGCAAAGAGCTCTCCAAAATTGTCTTCGATCAAGAGCGTACAGAGCTCGGCAGAGCACTAAATTCATGTCAGTAAGTAGCTCTCTCGAGATTCGCAGGACAGTCGCATACCTGGGACATCATGGTGGGCTAAAGAGATAAAAAAAAGATTCACCAGCCACCAAACCTCGAGAGGGGGCACTTGAGGGTCACCGAATGGTCATGAAGATTTCCAGCCCAGCAGAGATCTGCAAGTCCAAAAATCCAATGCACGATGAGATGCAGGTCTTCAACGTTCTTTTGTTCTTTTTTTGCTTATCGGTATATTCACGTGACATCAATCAGGTGATCCAAAAGCCTCATTCGGAGGAAACGTGTTCAGGTAGAAACAATGGATGGGGAACAATAGAGAGATTCACAATTTGAATACTGATATCAATTATTTAAAAAATACTCAATAAGATAGCAATCATATACAAAGTCAATTGGAAACAACTTCTATATACTCGAACAAAAGTAACTCCGGTTCCGTCCGCGCTTTTGATTACTTGACTGCTGATTGGCTGGAGTGACGAGTCGGGATCTTGAAGCTTTTCGTGACCTCCCAAACTGCCTCTTCCCTCTTGCTCTCTCCGCATCCCACCTCCTTCCCCGCCTCATTTGCGCCTCTTTACAAACCCAATTCGGGTTTTCATCTCTTCTTTTTCTCTCACATCTTCTCGGCACAGGCGACGATGCTGTCGCGGTCTTCCCTCAGCCGAAATGCGCCGCGTGCGTTCGCCGCCGCCGGCCGTCGGTCCATGGCCTCGGCTGCCAACCCGGCCTTCCAGTACGATGTCTCCGAAGCTTCCGGCGTGAAGGTCGCCAACCGTCAAGTTGAGGGCCCTACTGGTACCCTAGCCCTTGTTGCGAAGGCTGGTTCCCGTTACCAGCCCTTCCCTGGTTTCTCCGATGCTCTCGACCGATTCGCTTTCAAGGTTGGTTCCATGTCATCAATTGATTCATCTCAGATATATTTGGTGATACTAATCATTCAACTCCTAAACAGACTACCCTCAAGCGGTCTGCACTGCGGATCACCCGGGAGACTGAGCTGCTGGGCGGTGAAATCTCGTCGACACACTCGCGCGAAAACATTGTCCTCCGGACCAAGTTCCTCTCCAAGGATCTCCCTTACTTCACAGAGTTGCTGGCCGAGGTTGCTACCCAGACCAAGTTCGCAGGTGAGTCGGCCCCTTTTGATCAATGGTGATTGGTGGGTCTCAATTATATGAGCATCCTTTGCTGACTCGAGCCCTCTCGATGATATCAGACCACGAATTGAACGAGGTTGTCAGCAAGCTCCTCAAGTACAAGCAGCAGGCTGTCCACTCTAACCCGGAGACCGTTGCTGTCGATGCCGCTCACGGTGTTGCTTTCCACCGCGGTCTGGGCGCTTCCATCACCCCCTCCCAGTCTTCTCCTTACGAGAAGTACGTCTCCGGCGATGCCCTGGCCGAGTTCGCCCAGAACGCCTACGCCAAGTCCAACATTGCTCTTGTCGCCAGCGGCCCCAACTCTGCTGAGCTCTCCAAGTGGGTTGGCCAGTTCTTCAAGGACACCCCCACCGGCAACGCCTCCAGCAAATACAACGTTCTGCCCTCCGTCGCCTCCAAGTACTACGGTGGTGAGCAGCGCATTGCCTCCAAGATCGGCAACGCTGTTGTGATCGCCTTCCCCGGCTCCAGTGCTTTCGGCACCGCGGGCTACAAGGCTGAGGCTTCCGTTCTCGCTGCCCTTCTGGGCGGCGAGTCCACCATCAAGTGGACCCCCGGCTTCTCCCTTCTGTCCCAGGCCACCAAGGGCTTCAACCAGCTCCGTGTTTCTACCCAGAACAACGCCTACTCCGATGCTGGTCTTTTCACCGTCACTCTGTCCGGCCAGGCCGACCAGGTCGCTGCCGCCAGCAAGAACGTTGTCGACGCCCTCAAGAAGGCTGCCGCCGGTGAGGTCGCCTCCGATGACATCAAGAAGGCTATTGCCCTCGCCAAGTTCCGCGCTCTGGAGTCCGTTCAGACCCTCGAGACTGGTCTTGAGGCTACCGGCTCCGGCCTCGTCCACGGCAACAAGCCCTACCAGATCAATGAGATTGCTGAGGCTCTCGAGAAGGTCACCGAACAACAGGTCAAGCAGGTATGTTATTTTTCTCTCCGCATTATTGATTTCGTGATACTAACAGGTACCCGTAGGTCGCCAACACCTTCCTGACTGGCAAGGCTACCCTCGTCAGCGTTGGTGATATTCACCAGCTCCCCTTCGCCGAGGATCTCGGTCTGACCGTTTAAAATCCCTGTATACATTACACCGTGGAGAGGGAAGAGTCTGTTCCCTCCATTTTGGATTTGATGTGACCACTTGTGCCTAGATTCATTGCCGATATCTCCTTTGTTCTTTTAAAGGTGTAGTTGACTGTAATACAATTGTACCTTATCCTTTGTTTTCATTCTCTTCCGGTAGATCTATGGATTTCCTTGGCTCCTGGTCATGATCTTGGGGCGAGGTATAATTTCATGGCAAGGATCGATCAAAACTTGCATGTTTTATGTGCCCATACCCTTTCGTTGGTCTCCCTGCGCTCCCGGTTTTTATAGCAAAAATACCTAGATTTTGATATCGTTTTACTCCACCGAGTTATTTATACATACCAAGGTAGATATATATTTGTACCCCAACATTATCATCACATTTTTGCGCCTTATATATGAAGAATGATGGATGGTACACACCGAATGACCGAGGCTGAGATCTCCTTTCCCCACGGATAGAAAGTTCATGACCATCCAACTATCGCACAACTACATTGTTCTACATGTCTATATATGAACCACCCATGGCATTCCCTACACAAAGAGCCGTCAGCGATAATAATCCTGAAACTTAACAGGGCAATTGTTAATTTGATTGGTATAGATACGTTTATTGGGGCTTTATCCTATTTCGGTGACAAACTTCATCAGTACCAAGGTGAACTGAACTAACAAAAAAAACAACCACAGTCCTCCAACCACCCCATTATTATGGCAAGAAAGAGATATATGACTGAGCAATAAAAAAAAACAAAAAGATATGATAAGAGTGGGATTTGAACCCACGCCTCTTGCGAGACACGGAGACAGTTGTATACCATCGGGATCAGGTTAACCTGAACCGTGCGCCTTAGACCAACTCGGCCATCTTACCAATCGGATGGAAGATGGAGGAGAATATGGATATATAAACGGAAAGAAGAGCCATGGATAACTATATAATGGATGAAATGAAGACTAGTCTAGCCTAAAGGTTAAAGGCTAATGGCAATTTTATTTTTTAACTTTCTTTTTTCAAAAAAAGAAATAAATACGGTTTTATGTGAAAACTAATTATGTACTAACATTCCTAAATACGATGGACCATGTTCAATTTCAATATCTAATTGTTGGTTAATTGCCATAGTACTAAGGAATGGCCGAGGAGAAGTAATATTTGTATTGAAGGAGGGGATAAAAGAACTGAAGAGAAAAGCCAGGATAAATCTCTTGTAATAAAAATTCAGTTTATCATTTTCATGTAATGCTATCCCTATCCGACTATGCTATGTGACCTAGAACAGCAAAAAGGAATAGCCCCAGAGCCGTAAGACAACCCAAGACGCCGAAGACGAGAGAGAATGATATCCGAACAACTCAAGAATGAAACCGAGCAGAAAGACAAACCCGTCCAGCAGAAACCCCCCCCCCCCCCCAGACAACAAACTAGAAAACCATGACTCATAAAGCCCACACATGTTCATACTCTCATTATCATACCGGAGTCATCCCACCAACCTACCGTTCCATAGTACCGCACCAGTAATCTACCCGCAAATCCGAAAGACTGCGCGTCGGCAAACCCCAAGCGCGTGCAAGCCAGAGCGCCAATCCACCAACAACACCCACACTCCCAACAATCTGAACAAGCACCCAGCTCCGGTGCCCGAGGTCATCAATCCAACCAACCACACCGAGGGGGTCATTCGGACTGAAAGTCGCGAAGCGATACGTCCCAGAACCGGTATGTGAGTGCATGACCCGGAACCCACTAGGGCCCTTCTCGCCAACGTGGCCATGTAAATTACAAAATCCAGGCGTCTGGGAAAGAGGCACCAATGACCCGTCGACAACACACTCGCCTAGCCGCTCGGTAAGCCATACAGCGCGCTCGCCACGAGCCAGCGAGGTATATCGATCACGCTCGTTCTGTAGGCTGCGCTGCAGGTCTGTCGCCCACTGTGCAAGGTGGACTTGTGCCACGCGCTCCTCGTGGCGGGTGTAATCTGCGATGCGGGCCATGGCATAACCAGGTGGGGAGCCAGGTGAGATAGAGGTTCCCGATATGGAATGCCAACTGCTAGATGCGCATGCGGACCCACTTGAGGTAGGTAGCGGAATTGAGGGCGGGAGCGAAGATGAGTCCGTGCGCTGCTGGAGGAGTTTCTTTGCGGCGGAGTGGCGCATCCAGGCTAGGTTATCGCGATCAAACATTTTATTGACTAGGGCGCCTAGTTCGGAGGGGACGAGTGGCTGTACGTAGTCTGGGCTCATTAGGGTGCTTGCATCCATGGTTTCAATGTCGATTGTTTTCTCGGAGGAGACGGCATATGGGGGCTGGGATTCGAGCCCATTTAGACCGTTCGGCGGGTCTCCAAATAGGAATGGTTTGATTCCGGCCTCGCGAGCTTGTTCGTGGAAGCGGAGTTTCAAATGAGCGATTTGATTTGGGGTGAGGGTGTCTGCTTTGGATATTATTGGAATTACATTGCTTAGCTCGCAGAGCTTGCGAATGCATTCCACATCTGTTGAGAGGGTGTCTATAGAAGGTCAGCGATGTCGGGTTTGGAGCTTGAGACATAGAGAAAACCCACCATTAGAAATAAAATATAAGATGGCATCCACCTGGGATCCACCATTCCCCGCTAGTAGGTTTTGGAAATCAACACTGGACCCATTGAGCGCATTGGTAGCACGGAAGAATTGCTGTCTCATATACTGCCTGATAGCGTCGGTTTGACCCGTCCGGCTTAAATTTGTCGCCGTGTCTACAAAACATATATTCCGCTCCAGCACAATTTCCCCGATGCTTCTCCGGCGTTGGAGCACGCGGGAATCTTCCAAATCAGACCACCATGAAGGATAAGGTTTGGTGCTAGCATAAATTTCCGTCGTGGCAGTCGACGTCCCCCGAGATCGCCCGGAAGGTCTGCGACGGCCCAAAGAGGTCTGTGGGATGGTGTCGACATGTACGATATCGTCGCATGTCTGAACAATAGACTTGATCAACGAGGTCTTACCAGAACCTAATGTTTGAAATAATCAGCTGTTGTGATCTTTTCTAAAACAGTTAAACATACCCGGAGAACCAGCTAGAAGAACTTTGAGTCGACCCATGGCTTTTCCTCGCTCGGTGAATGGGCGCCGGCTGGGCATTTTGATACTTGGCATGATAAGCTGGGAGGCCCCACCTGGGGCCAAAAATGGAGACCCGTGGGGCATTTCGTCCTCATCTCCGGATCCGAGAGCCTGACTATTGATTTCATCTGTGATAGAAATATCATCGAGTGGCCGCATGGACTGGTTGGATATAGATTTGGGGCTGCTGGGCAGCGAGGATGGGTCATCGGGGATGCCCAACGTAAGCGGAGTTAAGGGCCGAGATACATGGATGGGAGATGGGTGTTCAGAGGATTCCCTGGTGTTTGAGTTTACCGGCTTCAATGTTGACCAGCGCTGTGCGAGGTGCGATTCTAAATCGTCGGTTGCCTGTTTCAGGCTGTCTGCGGAGTGTTCGCGGGGCAAGGATGTGACTGATTGGGACAGAGAGGCTAGGCTTTGTACTCCATACATATTCTCTTTGACATCCCCGCTATCTAACGATATACTGGAATCCTGGTCCGCGACATGTGGACTGCGCGATAAGAAGAAGGTCGCGGGGGTGTCAATGCGGGGATCAAGGGATGGGGATGGGGGACGGTCGGAGGGTTTGCGAGAGAATGAGAGGTCTGGAATAGGTCTCATGATGAAGACATTTCTAATAGAGATACCGAAGGAAGTCAAGAAAGTCAACAAAGTTAAGCTCTGGGAAGTAGGTAGCGCTGGAGGTGATCATGTCATCAAGCATCACGAGGTGATAACCCTTGTACCCCTCTTGATTTCTGCCTGAGGTATCCATGCATGGATTTATATTCCTGAAGTTGCTTATATGAAGAGTACACAAGTACGTATATTTAATATTACTTCAAATGTTACTTATTACTTTAATATAATAGATATAATATGCATCAATAGCACATATTTCCGGAAGTTTCTCAGTTCCTCCGGGATCTCCACTGTGGATTTAAGAGAATTGACGGAGTAGTCCGAGTAAGCTCGTACTTTTTTTCCTTCCACATCGGCTACAAGCACTATAAGCACACGCGCATCTAGCGCAGAATAAGAAATAAGACCAAAAGTCCATCAGAGTGGCAAGACGATGCCGACCACGGAGTACTGTCTCCGCCTTGAACTCCACTCCATCTCTTTCCAGAGCTCTTTTTGATTTCCCCGATCGGATTCTCCTTTTCTCCGACCTCTTGTGTGAAACTTCACACCTCCCTCTTGGCCTAGGCCTCAACTGAGTATCTCTCCCTCTCTTTAATTATACAAGATGGAACCAGCCATGTCGTGGCCAGAGCAGCTCCATGAGAATACTCTCATCAATGCGCCCGAGGAAGAGTTTTCCAACATGTTCGAGTTCAACATACCTTTTCCCGAAATCGAGCACGGACCAGGGAATATGCAGCATTCCCATTCTCTACCGACCACCACCGGCCCGGACTCGGATATGGCTCACCTACAATCGCATCCCGTGCAGTACTCGGGCCAGATGGAGGGGCTCATGGATTTCAGCGATAGCACACAGTCGCACACACACCAAACCCACCCAATGCCTTACTCGACTCCCCATATGACGCCAGGCTTTTGCGCACAACCATCGCCCATGTCGCAACCCCCTACGCATCAACATTACGTGCAGAACCACAGCATGATCCCTCCCACCCCCAACAGTATCGAGATGCATGGCAATACCGCCCGATACCCCCAGCGCGCGGACGAAACCCCGGATATGTACGACGGATATTCACGCATTAATGAGGAACAGGTTAGTTCAGACACAAATCCTAGATGAACCTGTTGGTTAACAAATAAGGCTCTCTACACTCCTCTGATATCCCCGGCCATGACTCCCCTGGAGAATCAATTCCGACTCCCTGAATACACAATCCCTGGCGAAT